TTCACTTTAAGAATTTGCCCAAAGCAAACATAATATGTCCTCTTACTTGGTATATAAACCAGAGGAGATTGTTCCTGTTAACCTATGAGGGTTCTTGTTAGAATAGTAAAATGTCTAGAGACGTCTCAGTGGAGTCCCACTCCATGCATCTTGTCCACCTTCTTGTTATTGTGGCAGCATTTTCAAGGGCTTGACCTGAAGCCAAGAAAGAGAAAAAAACACTAGAGATGGTATTTTGATAGTGAGATGAAATGTGTAATCCTTGACCCTGCCTCTTTCTGCCAGCTTTCTGTTTGTGTCAGTTTGAAAGTTTCTACAGAATGAAAAGCCATCTCTCAAAATGACCCCTGGTGCCCTAGCTGGTTTGGCTCAGTGGATAGAGTGTCAGCCTGTGGATCAGAGGGTCCCAGGTTTGATTCCAATCAAGGGCTCATACTTTGGTTCCAGACTCTTGCTCTGGTCAGGGTACATGTAGGAGGCAACCAATCGATGTGTTTCTTCACATTGATATTTCTATCTTTCTCTCTTTCTTCCACTCTCTCTAAAAATCAATGGGAAAATATCCTTGGTGATAAAAAAAAAAAAAGCCCCCTGGTCACTTACTCCTACTCCTTGGTCTGTAGAATGTTAAATGCAATTATTTTGCCATATCTGCTAGCAAGGATGGGATGATGAATTCAGCTTATAACTGGACTTTTAACGGTAGGAAATGTAGGATTAGCTATCATGTCTCACTCACTCATCAACACATTCTAGTTAATTTATAATCTTTCTAAAGACCCTATCCCTCTGCCTCTTTAACCAGCACTCTTTGCAATGCCGACAGTTTTCATCAGTGGAATTAAAGAATCTAGATGTGGTAAGATAAGTGTGCATATTTTTATGGGTGCATGAAATTTTAAAGAACATTAGGGCCGAGACCGGTTTGGCTCAATGGATAGAGCGTTGGCTTGGGGACTGAAGGGACCTGGGTTCGATTCCGGTCAAGGGCATGTACCTTGGTTGCGGGCATATCCCTAGTGGGGGGTGTGCAAGAGGCAGCTGATCGATGACTCTCTCTCATCGATGTTTCTAGCTTTCTATCTCTCTACCTTCCTCTCTGTACAAAATCAATAAAATATATTAAAAAAAAAAAAAGAACATTAGGGAGCACTGAGCCATTATAGTCTGCAGAGTATCCTTGGTTCATAATAAATTCCAGTTATACAAAGCCCAACAAAAGAAATTTAAATCAATTATGGTACATCTATACAGTTACTTAAGATTGTGGTATAGAAATTGATGTCATGTAAAGATATTCATAATATATTCAGTGAGAAAAGAAGGTCAAGAAATACTATAAATAATTTGTGTAGTATCATCTTTTTTTTTTTTTTCTAGTGAAAGGAGCAAACCATACATGTACAAGTAAAAAAGATGTCGAAAAATACAGCAAAATCTTAAAACTGACTTGTCTGGGTAAAGGAATTATGAGTATTCCCTTTGTGAGTTTTGTGTGTGTGTGTGTGTGTGTGTGTGTGTGTGTTCCCAAATTATCTGCTCTGACAGGTTTCTCAGAGGTTAGAGCAACAGCCTGAAGACTCAAAAGGTCCTGGATTTGACCCTTTCCAGGTCAAGTACTTTGGTTGCAAGTTCCCCAACCTGGGTTGTGCAGGAGGTAACCAATCAATGTGTCTTTCTCATGTCACTTTAATGTTCTTTCTTTCCCCCCACTCCTCCTTCACTTCCACTCTCTAGAAAGCAAAGGAAAAAATATCCTCAGTATTTTTTAACAAGAGGAAGAGAGAGGGATAGAGAATTAGAAACATCTATCAGCTGCCTCTTGCACACCCCCTACTAGGGATGTGCCCACAACCAAGGTACATGCCCTTGACCGGAATTGAACCAGGGACCTTTCAGTCCACAGGCTGACGCTCTATCCACTGAGCCAAACCAGTTTCAGCCTCAGTATTTTTTTTTTTAAAGATTTAAATCAATTATAGTACATTTATATAGTTACTTAACATGTTTTTAAAAATTACTGCATTTAGCATACGTTGCTTTTGTAATTAGAAACAAAATTTCCTTTTTTAAATGATGAAAGAGTATAACTGGCTGGCTAATTAAACAAGAACTCGTAGTGCACTTGTGGGGTCATCACAAGTTCAGGGGCTCATTCTTAAATTTCAAGTTTATAAGCACCATTTGATTTACTATAGAAATGATGCTGGTGCAAAAATGATCAGACTGGTTCTCTTCCCTCAATTCTCATTACCACTGTCTATATTATTTTCCCATTAGGATAGAGTCTCCCAGATGTAATCATTTCTTCAAAGAATTTGACTCTCCTAAGGCTCTTAAAGCAGGGTAACAAATTAAAATTTTTTTTTGTATTATCAATGTAAGGAATAATATTGCTATTGAACTCAAGGGGTTCCCTGGCTGGGATATTCTATTCAAGGACAAGATTTAGTTGTCCTCAGATAGTTTTATTTATTTGCAACAAGTAAAGGAGATAGGGAATTCATATCCAAAGTACTGTCTCCCAAAACAAAGGTTTAGCCATTGCTGTTATGTATTATTTAGGTAATTATGTCTTCTTTTTTTCAGCTGGCTAAACTTCAGGTCAAGCTCACCAAGTTACAGCTGAGTCTTCAAAATATTGTGCTACCTTTTAGCATCTAGCAAGATAGCATCTAGTAAAAACTGCTCAGACCCTGAGACCTTTGTCTTATCCAACAAAAGTATAATGGTGCTCTTTCATAAGCACTGAATATTACTATTTTCTGCCATTTGACAGTTTTCAAATTATTCTTTAATGTGTTTAAAAAATATTTTAATAACCACAAGTTCACGTGCTTTTTACTCATTCTTTTTTCTTCGGTTATAACTCTGAAGAGAATGCAGGTTCTATTTGCATGAGAGGAGAAAGCAGAGACCAGAGACAAGGAACATTGGGGCTCCATTGCAATAGCTTTCTATTTTATTTATTTAAGTACTGTTAATCTTCACCCAAGAATATTTACCCATTTATTTTGTTATTATTATTTATTTATTTATTTATTTATTTAGAAAGAGTGGAAGGGAGGGAGAGAGACATGGATGTGAGACACATATCAATTGGTTGCCTTCTGCATGCGCCTCTTGGGTTGGGGCTCCAGCCTGCAACCAAAGTCAGCAGGCCCTTGACTGCAATCCAACCTGGGACCCTTCGGTCTGCTGGCCGAAACTGTGACTACTGAGCCAAATCGGCTAGGGCTGCAATAGCTTTTTTTTTTTTGTAGTTTCTTTTTTCTTTTTCTTTTTTTAAATTTATTTACTTATTTTATTTTATTTATTTTTACATATTTTATTGATTTTTTTGCCCCCCTCCCTCCCTCCTACATATCCCCTCCCTCCCCAGAGTTTTATGTCCATTGGTTGTACTTATATGCATGTATACAAGTCCTTCGGTTGATCTATTATCTCCCCCAGATCCTCCTCCCCTCCCCGCTGTAATTTGACAATCTGCTTGTTGCTTTACTGTCTCTATATCTATCTTTTGATTTTTAAATCGCCTATGCTCTTCTACCTTGACCGTCTCCAAACAGCAACCAGAGAAGTCACTTTAAAACTTTAACCAAATCCTGTCCCTCTCCTGCTTTAAACCCATCCAGGGGCTTTCCATTGCTTTTCAAATAAAATTCAGCTGCGCCATGATGGGCACAGTTGTGCCACGCAATCTTGTTCACTGCACTGCAGCCACACCGGCCTTTGTTCCTCAAACACCCCACTCGCTTGCACATCAGTCTTGGTCCTTGCCTGTAAGAGTCTTTGCTCATTTAGGCATTTGTCTCCTTATCCTTGGCTTTTGGCTCAGCCGTCTCCTCCTCTGACCGGCCTTCCATGCCTTCCCCATCACAGTCCTTGTTTTCATTTCCTGTAGCACCTGTCACAGCCTAAAATTATCCTTCCTTTGTTGTTTCGCTTGCTTTTTTTTTTTTTTAATTATATTGTTGCTTTATTATTACGTTTTCAGAGTTCTCTATATATTCTGGATGCCAATGCTTTACCAGACATGTCTTTTGCAAATACTTTATCCCAGTCTGTGTCTTACATTTTCATTACCTTGACAGTCCTTTGAAGTTTAAAGTGTTAATGAAGTCGCTTGCTCTTTTCTGCTCAAAGTAAGGCCGGCGATGGGCAGCCCCCGCCTCTTGATTAAACACTGTGAGTTGGAGTGAAGATCACAGCGCCCCTCGTCTTTAATGAAGGGGTTAACTAGAATCACCCTCTCAGGAAGCCAGGGCATTCTCGTTCCCGCATCCCTAGAAACTTCCGGAGGAGGAAGCCTTCATAAGGGCGTGGGGAGCGAGAGCTGGGGATACATAGGAAGACTGTGCCGCGACGCAGTGTTTTCACGGAGCCGGAGGGAGAGCGCGGGAGACTCGGCACGACGCTCGAGGGCAGCCCCTGGGCGCGGAGCCCTTTGGAAGTTTTAAGACCCCGGGACCTGAGCGGAAGCAAACGGAAGCACACCGAGCAGAGGACAGAGCCGAAGACCTGCGAGTCCCGGCGGAATCCACGCCTCACCGGTCTCGCAGCGCCCGCCTCGGTCCTCCTGCTGCAAACGCCTCCCTCCGTCCGTCCCCCCGCGGGTCCGCTTCCCTGGAGCGCGGAAAGGGCTTTCAAAACACTAAATGGATATCTTTTTCTGAAATAAAAAAATAATATCGACCATCTGGAAATGGCAGGCATGTACAGGAAATTAAGTCCGGTAGCCGAATTCCACTAATCTTCCAGCCGCCCCCCCACGCACCCCACCTTGGGCTCCCAGGGCCTGGGCAGGGTGGGGCGGGCGGGGCGGGGCGGGGCGTGCCCACGGGCGCCGCCGGGCCGGACTGCGCAGGCGCGGGGCGGGCTCGCAGGCGGCGTCGCGCGCCGCGCAGTTCGCGCGGGAGCGGGACGTCAGGGCGCCGTGTGTGCTGCTTGGCCGTGGGGAACGGAAGCCGCCGTGGGGGCGGAAGGGGGAAGCCGCCAGGATGGCGACTTCGAGCGGCAAGACCTCGACCCCGACGCCCCCGGCCTCCAAGAGGCCGCTTCCGAGAGAGCCCTCGTCGGAGGTCCCGAGCAAGAAAAAGAGTTCGGCGGCGCCGCCCCTGTCGTTGTCCGGACATTTTGTGGAAGGCTCCATCGTCCGCATCTTGATGGAGAACTTCCTGTGAGTGGCCCGCGGCCGCGGGCAAGGCGAGCGGGCCTGGGGGGCGCACGCTGCGTGCGGGTGCGCGCGTGGGTGCGCGGGTTTGGGGGGGGGGCGTGTGCCCGGCTGGTCGGTCTGGCCGCGGTTACCGACGCCCATGTCCGCGGGCTGGGGAGATGGATGTGTGTGACGGGCGGTGTGCGCGGTGTGTGTCTTGTGGGTGATGCGTTTGTTTTTGTTTTGGTTTGATTCGTTCTGCCATGGTTTTTGGAAGGCGTCATTGGCCGGGCAGGGGACGTAGCAGGGATTAGATCTCTGCCCGCTGCAGGTTATGGCCTCCAGAGGGAGGACATTATAATCTGTAATTCACAAAAAAAAGTATGGGCCCATGGGATTCCCTGGAAGCAACAGTTAAATCAGAGCATTAGTGATGATGTGGCAGTGGCCAGGCAGATAAAAAATGGTGAAGGTGGTACGGGATGGAGGTTGCAAAGGACAAGAAAATGAATCCGTTCACTCAGTTGTTGGGCCTCCCAACAGACCCTTGATCTTTACAAATCCACCTTCCCCCCGCCCCCCTTGGTTCCTTGCTCTCCCTCCAGACAATTAGTTATAACCGTTTTTAGAATTTAATATGTTTAAATACACATACCGTGTTAGTAGAGCACCTTACAGTTCATTTGATCAAGATTTCTTTTTTTTTTTTTTTAAGCTTGTACAGAGTGGTGTAGGGAAAACAATTGCAATGACAGATATTCCCCCCTCCCCCCCCCAAGCATCTATCATGCTAGTTATGGGAGAAGGTGCTTTAGGTATACAGGGCTCTCCCATTCTTTATTCGCAACGATTCTTTGAATTACTATTTGAATCCAGATCAGGAAAGACTATCAAATGAAATACCTACCATAATAATGTACACATCCGGATGACATGGGGGCACAAAGGATGAAGTGGTTACTATCGTCCACAACCGTGAGAAAGGGCTTTTTGTAGGGACATTATAAAAGTCTTAAAAGACGGGAACAGGTCTGTAGACAGAAGGAACTGCCTGCAACAGTTTGTTATATTTAGGTATTTTAGTAAGCCATAGGATGTGAGTGAATATGTGAACATAGGTGATACTGCAGAGGTAGTTCCATAGGTGATACTGAGGGTCTGTTACTTACTGTGTAAGGAATTCCAGCTTCATTCTAGGAAATAGTATGTGATTTATATTATTACTCTGGAAGCAGTGCAAAGGATGAATTTTAAGATTGGAGGCAAGAAGACTTTTGCAATATGAAGGCAAGAGATGATCAGGATTTGAACTTGTTGGGTAGCACTGGGGAGGTAAGAATGGAAATACAAGAAATTTGACAGAATCTGGCAACAGATTTTTTTAAGAATAAATCTTTATTGTTCAGATTATTACATTTGTTTCTCCTTTTCCCCCCCATAGCTCCCCTCCACCAAGTTCCCACCCCACCTCTGACCTTACCCCCCACTGTCCTCATCATAGGTGTATGATTTTTGTCCACTCTCTTCCCGAACTCCAAACCTCTTTCCCCTTGAGAATTGTCTGTCCACTCCCTTTCTATGCCCTTGATTCTATTATATTCACCAGTTTATTCTGTTCATCAGATTTTTTAAAAAATATATTTTATTGATATTTTACAGAGAGGAAGGGAGAGAGATAGAGAGTTAGAAACGTCGATGAGAGAGAAACATCGACCAGCTGCCTCTTGCACATCCCCTACCAGGGATGTGCCCGCAACCAATGTACATGCCCTGGACCGGAATCGAACCTGGGACCTTTCAGTCCGCAGACCGACGCTCTACCACTGAGCCAAACCGGTTTCGGCTGTTCATCAGATTTTTTATTCACTTGATTTTTAGATTCACTTATTGATAGGTATGTTGTTCATAATTTTTATCTTTGCCATTTCTTCTTCCTTAAAGAATACCTTTCAGCATTTCATATAATACTGGTTTGTCAGTGATGAACTTCTTTAGCTTTTTCTTATCTGTGAAGCTCTTTATCTGCTCTTCAATTCTGAATGATCCTTTGCTGGGTAGAGTAATCTTGGTTGTAGATTCTTGCTATTCATCACTTTGAATATTTCTTGCCACTCCCATCTAGCCTATATAGTTTCTTTTGAGAAATCAGCTGACAATTGTATGGGTGCTCCCTTGTATGTAACGGGTTTTCTCTTGCTGCTTTTATTTATTTATTTTTTATTTTTTTAAAATATTTTTTATTGATTTTTTTACAGAGAGGAAGGGAGAGAGATAGAGAGCTAGAAACGTTGATGAGAGAGAAACATCAACCAGCTGCCTCTTGCACACCCCCAACCAGTGATGTGCCCACAACCAAGATACATGCTCTTGCCCGGAATCGAACCTGGGACCTTTCAGTCCGCAGACCGACGCTCTACCACTGAGCCAAACCGGCTTCGGCTCTCTTGCTGCTTTTAATAGTCTCTGTCTTTTGCTCCTGGCATTTTAATTATGTGTCTAGGTGTGGTCTTCTTTTGATTCCTTTTGTTTGGGGTTCTTTGTGCTTCCTGGACTTGTAAGTCTATTTCTTTCACCAGATGGGAGTTTTCTGTCATTATTTCTTCAAATAGGTTTTCAATATCTTGCTTTCTTCTTCTGGCACCCCCATAATTCAGATGTTGGTATGCTTGAAGTTGTCCCAGAGGCTCCTTACACTATCTTAATATTTTTGGATTCTTTTCTTTTTGGATTGGGTGTTTTTTGCTTCTTTGTATTTCAAATCTTTGGCTTGGTTCTTGTGATCCTCTAGTCTGCTGTTGGATCTCTGTGTAATATTTTTTTATTTCAGTTGGTGTATGCTTCATTTCTAGTTGGTCCTTTTCATATCCTTGAGGGACTCACTAAATTTATTGGCCTTCTCTAGAAAAATTCTTGAAAAACCTTATAACCGTGGATTTGAACTCTATATCAAGTTGGCTTTCCTCCATTTCTTTAATTTGTTACCTGTTTCTTTGTCTCTGCATTTTGGCTGCTTCCCTGAGTTGATAGAGTGGCTTTGTGTGCTAGGTGTCCTATAAGGCCCAGTGGCTCAGCCTCCCCAGTTACCTGAGGTGGACACTCTTGGTGCACCCCTTTGTGGGCTGTGTGCACAGTCTTGTTGTAGTTAAGCCTTGATTGTTGTTTTTTATCACTGAGAGGAATTGACCTCCAGGCCAATTGGCTATGAGGATCAGCTGTGTCTCAGATGGGAAAACTTCTGTGTTGGAAGACACTCTTATGAGACAAGACTTGCAAAAGCCTTTGTGCTCAGCGTGGATGGGGCGAAGTCTCAGGGCAGAGCAGACAGCAATGGCTTCTTGTCAGCCCTGCCCTAAGAGGCCCCTGGGTCTTAGTATCCCACAGTAATCACTGCAGACACCTGAGAGAAAGCCACCCTCGAGTTTCGCCCACTGCCAGACAGTCCATTTTTCTCCCCGTATGAGTCTGGGTCTCCAGAGTCTTCCCCAGAACTGGAGTTCGGAGCAATCTGGAGCTTTTGTCTCCCTCTCGATTGAAAAAGCCATCCATGTACTTAGTTGCCAGCCCTCTTCACGCACATGCACGGGTGCCCCTCTGTACCTCCGACTTTTGCAGCTCTTCTGAGTCTCAGTGTGCTTTTCTCTTTCCTTCTAGTTGTAGAATTTCCACTCAGCCAGCCTTCCTGTGGTTCTGGATGATGTCTGTTTTGTCTTTTACACAGATGGTGGATTTCGTTTTGAATGTGTTAAGTTTGAGTGATAGTTGTGGGTCTCCCAAATAAAGTTACTGAGGTTGTAGTTTTGAAGTGGTTGTGTGCGGCAGCAGTTTCAGGTGTTTACCTATGCCACCATCTTGGTTTCTCCTCTACTATCTGGCAACAGATTAATTGGGAAACATTAGGGTAAAGGAGAATTGCAGCATTGGCTAATTGGTCAAATATGGCATTCAGAACTGGGAACACTTCGGAGAGAATAATAAGCGCCTTTTGGATTCTGTTACTTCAAGTTTCTTGTGAGTGGGGGTTGGGGGGTTTCCATAGACAGTATTTTAAGTGTCTGAGGCTTATAGGAAAGTGTGAACAGATGAGAGATTTGGGAATCATGCATGTAAGTAATTGTTGAAGTTGCAGAAGTTGTGAGTGCCCAAAAGGAAATATAAGTAGGAAAAATAGAAGGCCAAATATAAAATCCTAAAGGAATGCCAACATTTAAGGGTGAGCTGAAGAGGAATTCACAGGCTGAGAAGGAACTATTCAGGGAGGTGAGAGAAGAACTGTAGGAAAGTATTATCAAAGAAGCCAAGCATAAAGAGTGTTTCAAAAATTTCTGCTACACTGAAGTCAGACAACAGGAGTGAAAAAGAGCCCACTGCATTAAGAATTTGGACATCTTTGACCCTTTGATGGAGCAGTGGAAGAAGACTCTTGCCAATCATAGAAGAATGAATGAATTTTGAGGGAGTAAAACTTAGATGTGAAGAGAAGGAAAAATCTGGCTGGAAAAGACAGAGCTAAAGCTAGGGGAGGTTTTGTTTTCACAGTGAAAAGACTTCTGAGTTTTAGGAAAGAAGTGAGAGAGAGAAGCTTAGAGAAAAGTGTTCTAGAAAAGAATGGTCAAGGGAAGGATTCCTATATGTGAACCAGCTCAGTGGGGTTGAGAGTGGAGGGCAAGATTTCTAGGTAGCAGGAACAGCATGTGCAAAGGCTCCATTGGAAAAGGAAGGAAGCCTAAAATAAGTAAAAAAACTGAAAGAAATTCATCATAGATATGATTTAGAGGTCTGATTAGAAAAGAGGGGAAGAAGATAGGAGAGAAAGTGGAAGCTAGAGAGAGCTAAATTATTAAGGATCCTACTTATTTTTCTTCATTTTTTTAACAAGTGATATCAGATTTGCATCTCTACCAGCATGCTTTGGTGATTGAAGGAGTGTTGTGGGTAGAGGTTAAGGAAATGGTAGAATAAAAGATAATTCAAGACTAATGCCTAGGTGTCTGAATGATACCATTCACCAAGAGATCACAAGAGAGGTTTTGGACGACAAAGATGGTGGATTTCGTTTTGAATGTGTTAAGTTTGAGTGATAGTTGTGGGTCTCCCAAATAAAGTTACTGAGGTGGTAATTTCATTTATAGGTCATCTGAGCTGACTTTCAGCATGTTAGATGCTCTCTGAGGCCATAGAGAATATATGGGATACCAGGCAAAGTATATAAACTGAGAAGAGGTGGCCCTTTGACAATAGCTGTTTCTGGGGAGCTTAGATGAAAGGGAACTCACAGAAAGGGAATTCCCAATAATCATAATGTAGAGTCAGAACAATTCATTATTTTAAATGCAAAGGCTTTGTTTTGCTTTTGGCAACTTTTTCTGTTTGTAATATATATGTGTATTTTATAGACCATAAATTCTCATGCTTTTTTCTGTTGTCTCTATTTTCTTAAATACCATTTTAGTAAGAGCTGTGCAAGAGATTTCACAGCAGAATATTCAAGTGTTAGAAGAATAGGGCTTGTGTGTTGAGATTAAGAAATTCCACCCCAGGTAATTTTCCAGATGGGTGAAGTTCCCCAAAGTTTCACTTTAACCATTATAAAGAGTTCCTTTAAGACACAGCTGATAACAGAATAAAGCATCTGAAAAAAAGTAGATAGATGCTGTGTAGAAGTGTGGGGTTGGAAACTTTCCAGAAAATACTTCTCTTTTACTACCTGTTTTTGTTTTTATTACCACCTGGAATTTCAGAATTCCTTTTTTTTTTTTTTTTTTTTTTTTGTATTCAAGTTGAATGTGTTTGGTTGTTATTTATGTGTAGGGTGTGGCAAAAATAGGTATACATTTGTGAGTATGCAAAACACAGTTTATTCTTGTATTATTGTTTTCCATAAGAACAACTGTAAACCTACTTTTTTTTAAATATATATTTTATTGATTTTGTACAGAAAGGAAGGGAGAGAGATAGTCAGAAACATCGATGAGAGAGAGTCATCGATCAGCTGCCTCTTGCACAACCCCCACTGGGGATATGCCCGCAACCAAAGTACATGCCCTTGACCGGAATCGAACCCGGGACCTTTCAGTCCCCAAGCCGACGCTCTATCCATTGAGCCAAACCGGATTCGGCTGTAAACCTACTTTTGCCCCACACTATATTTAGTAGATTAGTACCCTGTTTCCCCGAAAATAAGACAGTGTCTTATATTAATTTTTGCTCCCAAAGATGCGCTAGGTCTTATTTTCAAAGGATGTCTTATTTTTCCATGAAGAAGAATATGGTACACATTTATTGTTAAATGAAAATAAAGGAAATTTATTACCTGTATACTGTAGGGTAGTATGGTAGTTGTCAACACAAACCAGACAAACTGTGAATCCTACAGTATCAAGAATTTACTCAGTGACAATCATGTCATCATCTTCTGGAACATCATCATAACAATCCAATTCCTGAATTTCCTGGTGAATTTCTTGTGACTCCATTTCTTTCAGAATCAGTGGACCAAATCTCTCATGTTTAGCCTGGGGGGGTCTTATTTTTAGGGGGATCCCTTATATTTCACTCAGAAGGAAACTTGTAAATAGGTTTTATTTTCGGAGGATGTCTTATTTTCAGGAAAACACGGTAGCAGGTAAAACATTTATTCTTGGAAAATTAGTTGTGGGAACAGGATGTTATTTATGAGATTTAATTCAGGATATTCAGAGATAAGCTAGGAAAATATCTGAGTCAGATTTCGCTTCATATTTTGCCATAGCTGTCCCTAGCCACTAATAAGGATTAGATGCTATCTATGTAGGTAGAGTGCTGGACAGCATACAGTTTTCTGGCACAGGGAATAGTACAGAAGTACTTGGTGTTGATGCATTCTTGTTTCCTCCCATAGGAATAAATTCTATTTAAACATGGACTATGCATCCTTGGGTGAATCTCTGGCAGCATATTCAAGGAAAATGGATGTAATTTTAAAAATTAATAATAAAATGAAACCATAGGGTTGATATATAACTTCAGTTTTCTAATAAGAATAAAAATAATTTGATTGGATTATTTCAAGTATTGGGATATGTAAAGTTACTGTTAAGCATTTTAGTTTAAAAGAAATGAAATGTAAAGTCTACAGATGAGCCATAGCTTCTCTTACATAACATTTTTAAAAATTACTTGTACAGTAGCTTTGATATATTCTTTCATGTATTATAATTGGTTAAAAAAGAAACAATATCAAGCTTTGCTTTACTCAAATTATAGTTGAAACAGGCATACGAAATCTATTTTCCTAATGATATTTTCATTTTATTTAGTTTTTAAATTTTATTTTTCAATTACATTTAGTATTATTTTATACTAGAGGCCACAAAACTTGTCCAAGAGTAGGCTTTCTTTCCCCCAGTTGTTGACACTGACACTCGGGATTTGGGCTTCCCTCGCAGACCCGGCTTTGTCGGGAAGGATGTCTGGTCTAATTAGCATATAATGCTTTTATTATTATAAATTAGTTTCAGATGTATAGCATAGTGGTTAGACAGTCATATACTTTACAGAGGAGTCCCCGATATTTCATGTACCCATCTGGCACCATTACATAGTTATTATAATATTGATTATATTCTGTATTCTGTACTTGACATTCCTATGATTGTTCTGTAACTACCAATTGTATTCTTATTCCCTTCACCTTTTTCACCAAACCTCCAACCCAACACTCAGTCTGGCAACCATCAGTTTGTTCTCTGTATCTGTGTCTTTCTATTTTTGTTTGTTTATGTTGTTGTTTAGATTGGCTTTATTATTTTTTTTCCATTAATAGATTTTTTTCCCCCCTCTAGTTTATTAACAACCTATAAATAATATTAAATTTGTAAGATTAGCTGCTTGGCTTTAAAGGAATTTAAACCTATAAATGATAATGTAAAGCAAGAAAAAAATGCTTTTGCAAAGAATATATTCTTCACTTCTTTGCTTAGTAATTTTATCTCTTTATAATTTAGAACATATGATATCTGTGAAGTGTGCCCTGGACCCCACTTGAATATGATTATTGGAGCTAATGGAACAGGAAAGTCCAGCATTGTGTGTGCCATTTGCCTCGGATTAGCAGGCAAACCTGCTTTCATGGGACGGGCTGATAAGGTGAGTTAACATAAGTACTTTTTTTAAAAATTTCAAAGTGGTGACTTGCTTTAGTAAGAAATTCATTTCTGCATTTCAGTTTCTTGGGTGTAGCAAAAGTATAATGCTTGAATTTAAAGAATGAAGTTGGCAGGTAGAGAAGCTGGGAGGATATTACCATTTCTAGAAATATTTAAGGCTATCGATGGAGAGAATTCTCTAAGTATACAATACTTGCATTTCTGAGTGTAAAAAAAAATTTTTTTTTTAATGTATTGCTCGGCTTGTAGAAAGGTGAAGTAATTTACCAGGCAGAAACAAAATAGTATGGATCTGAAAACTTAAGCAAGCTCTACAAGTGTTTCCCTAGGAGTATTTGCTTAGCTTCTACCTTAAAGCCTAGCTTTGAATTAGATCCATGGGATAGGGAGCCCTGAAGGTTGTGGGGAAGGGCTAGAAGATAAAACTAGAAGCCAAGTACTATGTGTAGCACAGAAAACACACTGTCAGAATGGGATTGCTTACTCTTCTCATTGTTAACTCTGAATATAGCAGAGAGAAAAATAGAAACTCTTCCAATGAATTCTTAACCAATGGCCTTAATACATGTTTTGGGCCAGAATTCATATAACCTAGGTATATGGCCAAAATATCATAAATTGAAATTTTAGTTTAGAGTGGTCAATTAATATTATCTCTAGGCATTGGCAGAAGCTTATGTAAATCCTCTTAAGGAAAATAGCTTCAATTCTCAAAAGTATTCAAACAGAAAGGTGTAAGAAATTCATAAATTCATAACCAAAAATCACAAAACATAGGAGGAAATGGATTTCCAAAAATAAAAGCTAACAAAAATATCAGACTACAAAATCAAACCTACAAAGCTAATAAATAGACAGCATAAACTAGGAATCTTCAGTGTAAGGAAATAAAAGAAGGCTGTAAGAGTAATAAAGGAGCCCTGCCAGTGTTGAATGTCAACCTGTGAATGAGGTCATGGTTCGATTCCTGGTCAAGGCACATGCCTTGATTGTGAGCTCGATATCCAGTAAGAGGGGAGCAAGGAGTGCAGTGATGATTCTCTTCATTGATGTTTCTCTCCTCCCTTCCTGTCTCTGAAATCAATTTAAAAAATATATTTTAAAAAAGAATAACAAAGAAATAAGTAACAAAAAATTTAGGTAAATTTGAAAAAGAATTAAATAGTACTTAAAGATATATTAATTGAAGAGAGAAACTTAATGGATGCGTAAAACAACAAAGCAGACACATTTGAGAAGAGAATTTATAAACTGAAGTACTTGAAATTTTTTCTTAAATGAAGAAAATCAAGGTTGAGGAATGATGATAAGTAAAGAATGATAATCCATTTTTTTTTTTTACTATACTATGAGAGATAATATAGACTAAGAAAGAGGCAATATTTGAAGAAGAAATGACTAAGAATTTTCCAGAAACATTGAAATTTTGGATTCTCAAACTCAAGCAGTAAAATAAAAAGAAATACAAAAGTAGAAACATTGTAGTGAATTAAAGAATATCATACACAGTAGTAATATGTTTTCAGAATGATGAGACAAAGAAACTTTGAAAGTATGTAATTTAGGAACAAGGAATATGGTCCCAGTAGGAAAGTCTGAGATGTATATATATACACACACACACATATATACACACACACACACACACACTGAGTGGCCAGATTATTATGCGTTCAAAGATGATAATTGGACACTTAGTATATAGCTATTGTAATATAACTATAAATATTGGGATGTATCTCTCACATCGATGTTTCTCTCCTCCTCCTGCTCCCTAAAAATCAATGGAAAAAATATCCTTGTGCGAGAATTAGTTCTGCTGATTTTGCTTAAGTGTTTTGGAGCTAGGTTATGTGAATTCAAGTTGAGAACTGAACCTTAGTTCTGTTGATTGATGTGAGAGAGATATATCCCCACCCTGGTGGGGGATTAAATGGTAACCCAGGTATATGCCCTGGACTAGGAATCAAACCCATTACCCTTTGGTGCTCAGGCTGGTGCTAAGTCAGCAGAACTCAATGGGAAATGAACAGATTGCACAATCACAGTGTGAAGGCTATTAATAAATCAATGACATAAGAAATAGTAAGAATATAGGCATAGCTCAGAGATGTTGTAAGTTCATTTCTAAACCATCACAGTAAAGCGAATATCACACTAATTTTTTTGTTTCCCAATGCATATGTAAAAGTTATGTTTATACTATACTATAGTGTAAGTGTGCAATAGCATTATGTCTAAAAGTAAAAGACCGAGTGTTTATACCTTAATCAAAAAATACGTTATTGCTAACCATCATATTAGTGTTTAGCAAATCATAGTATTTTTGGCATAGATAGACTTGTTCAACACAGGATTGCCGCAGAACTTCAGTTTATAAAAAAATAATAAAATGCAATATTTGCAGTGTAATAAAATGCTGTACCCCTGTAGAGATCAACAATTAAGCTTTAATCAGTGGTCATGTTATAAATGCTATACTCAACAATTGGAAAGGATACGTTCTTTAAGTACAAATAAAACATTTCTAAAAACCATCTACTGAGCGAGCCATAAAGCATATATCAAAAATATAAAATAATTTTTACCACACAGACCATATTCTCTGACCACAATACTATTAAGAGAGAAACAATAAGATAATTAATTTTTTTGGTATTAAAAATATTTGTTTGGAATTAAAAAATAATACACAGGTCAAAGAAAATTCTTAATGGAAATTGAAAAATTAATAAATTTATTTCATTAGCCTTTTTGAAAACAGGTTTTGGTTTTGTGGTACTTATATCAAAGAATGAACAATGATATAAGTTCCACAAAACCAAAACCTGGTTTCAAAAAGACTAATGAAATTAGTAACTTCTGAGAAAGTAAAGAGGAGGGGGTAGGTAAAGAACAAAATATAAAGGAATGAATAAAAGTAATAGTTAGTATATAACGTGATCCAAACAACTTCCAAATTTAAGTGGCTTGAAAATACAAAAGATTAATTTTTGCCCTTACTATAATATTTGTAGGCCCTTTGTGGTCATTTAGGTACCTAGGCTAAGAGCCACAACTTGTATCAGAAAAAAATGAGCAAAAGCAATTCTACCATGGGCTTGGATTCATGAACTGCCAGAATATTCATGAACTGCCCTGATAATTACCACTGGGGCATTATCAGAATGCAGCAGAGAGTTAAAAGATTATAAGAGAATATTGACAATTTTATGCCAATAGATCTTAAATTTTTAAAAAGTGAATATGTAGGTTTCTACAACTAAATAAATTACTGAAGCTGACTTGTAACTAGAAAAAATAAATGAGCTGTTGCATTTTTCTTAGAACACCAGATAATTATGGATTAGTTCAATAGCAATAATTTATTATGTATAGTATATGACTCTAGGTACCAAAAATCAGTCAATGAAAGAATAAAAAAATTTTAACTCTGTCTCACTCATGAATATAGAGGCAAAAATCTCAAAAAAAAAAAAAAAAAAAGAGAGAGAGAGAGAAACTTTAGCCTGCTGAATTGAATACATAAAATGCATAATACATTATGACCAAATTGAATTTATTTAACACATGGGAGATTGATTGAACATTAGAAAAATTAACGTAATATATCATGTTTTAAAGAACTGTATGATCATCTCAATTGATGGAGAAAAAAAAGTATTCAGTTAAATTTCAAAGTAATTTATGAGTTAAAAACTCTTAGCAATGTACAGGATCTTAATTTCATAAAAGAAACCGTGGGCATGTGCCCCTACCGGGAATCGAACCTGAGACCCTGTGGTGCACGGGACGATGCTCCAACTAACTGAGCCGCACTGGCCAGTGCAGACAAGTTTTTTTTCCCTATCTTCTCGTGACTCAGTTGTGAAGATAATTGTTTGCAAGGTGTCTTATTGTCTGATTTAAAAACCAATTTGATTTTGATTTTTAGGCCCAGGGTCTGTTTTCATGCTTATGCTCATATACATATTGAAACTAGCTCAAATAGTCTATGTACATTGTACTAAAGTTTTTTTATTCTGTATATTGCTTTTTTTTTTTTTTTCAAAAAAATAGTTGGTGACACCTATGCCCTGACTAATAACAGGATAAGTAATATTGGATTGGTTGTTAATAATATTTAATCTGTGCAGCTCCTTTGAAGTTTCCAATGGTAATGAGATTGGGTATATATTTCTTTGTGATTATTCTATAGAAACTGTTTTTCCACTGGCTTGCTTTCTTCTCTCTGAGAGTGCGTTTGCTAAGGACACTGGTTCTGGAGCCAGATTATCTGGGTTTAGATCCTTGCTCTGTCCCACTTATGAGCTTTGTAAGAGGCTGTCTGGCAATAAATGGTAACTAATATTATTATTGCTTTTTGTGAGTGGAAATAATGAAGGGGCTTTTCCTACAAAAAAGCTATTGAATGAATATTGATCTGACAAATAATAATGACATTTTTAGATCTCCTGACCTGGAAATGTCATCATACAGTTCACTTTGTTTTTTTTATTTCTTAGGTTGGCTTTTTTGTGAAGAGAGGCTGTTCCAAAGGCATGGTTGAAATTGAATTGTAAGTGCTAAAATCACTTTTTTTTTTCTATAATTTTTTATTTTATGTTCATTCTTTCCTGGAGACTTTAGAAAAGAATAGTCCTAATATATAAAAAGTCAGGGGCTGTTATGACCAAAACAACTGGACGAACGACTAAACAGCAGGCAGTGTGGGGCAACCAGGCCAGCAGTTGGGGGCGACCAGGCTGGCAGGGGTGCAGTGAGGGGCGACCAGGCTGGCAGGGGTGGGGGGGAGACAGTAAGGGATGACCGGGGCGGGGGGCAGTGAGGAGTGACCAGGCCGGTGGGGGGGGGGGGGAGGGAGAGGCAGGCAGATGAGCAGTTAGTAGCCAGAGGTCTTGGATTGTGAGAGGGATGCCTGACTGCCGGTTTCCGACATTCCCCGAGGTGTCTCAGATTAGAGAGGGTGCAGGCTAGGCTGAGGGAACCCCTCCTCCCATGCATGAATTTCGTGCACCAGGCCTCTAGTAATATAATATAGTTATAAATATTGGAAAATTTCTAGAATACTTAATCCAGATAAGGTTTTTTTTTCATGCATCTTTAAAACTTAAATTATAAGAATTTTCTTTTAGAAAAATAGTTAAGGAAATTATAAGTTTATGGGAGATAATGAAATAGAAATATATTCATTGTTGAACATTTAATTTAAAGTTGCAGTATTTTTTAAAATTTAAGTTGTCTGTGTGTGCTTGCTGATTTTGAAAGTAATGCTTGTTGAATGCTACATAAAAGTGTATAAAAGTGAAATTGAAGGCCTTCTCAATATAACCTAGAAATAACTGCTGTTAATAATTTAGTGAATCTTATGCATAGCAAGTATTTGGCACCTCAGTCTCCATTTTTCATATCCTTCTTCATGACAGATCAATAATTCATTGTAGTATTTTTTTTCCTCGAGCTTAGATGTTATCAGTTTACCACATTTGGCAGCCTTCCCCCCCCCCCCCCCCCCCCCCAGAGAGAGGAAGGGAGATGGAGAGAGATAGAAACATCTATGATGAGAGAGAATCATTGACTGCTGCCTCCTGCATGCTCCCCACTGGGGATTGAGCCTTCAACCCAGGCATGTGCCCGGACTGGGAATCAAACTGTGATTTCCTAAAAGGTTGATCCTCAATCACTGAGTCATGCAAACTGGGACATTTGTTTCTGTCTTATATAATTGTTTTCTATTTCGTTAATTTCTACTATCTTTATTAATTTTTCTTTAAACCTTTGGTTTCTTTGCTCTTTTTCTGATTTCTTTCAATGGATTTTTTTTTGTACTAATTTTTTATCTTTTGTTAGGTTAAAATTTTCCTCTCAGTATTTAGTTCCACGTCCCAAATACTTTTTAAAAAGTTTAAGTTAGGTTTGTTTGGCTCACTGCAGCAAGGGAAGAAAGACTCCAGAGAAACCCAGGGCATCCCAGTACTAGGAGTTGAGCAGGACTTCTTAGAGGATCTGGGCTTGTGTTGGTGAGACTAAGAAAGGGTTTGGAAAGCAGGGGTTGTTCTGGATTGCAGTTTGTTGAAAAGAAGGTGTGGGCAATTAGATGATCAGGTCTCCATAATTTGATAGTTAATTATTAATTCATTATTGGTTAGTTTTATCCATAATGATCTAACAGGCAGGAAGATGAAAATGGGGTCTGTAGATAGCATTAATAGGGGAGCAGGATTCCTGTGAATTGGAAAGGGAAATGTTTAGTCTCATTTTTGATTTCAGAGTGGCGCCCTCTCTGTCTTGTTGAAATGTAGATGGATATGGAAGATCCTTGTAGTACATTGTTTCTATTCAGTGGGCTTTATCTGTGTTCAGTTGAATACATCATAGTTTGGCTGCCAGCAAGGCTGGTTTTTGTTGTCTTTTGTTTTCATTTTTTTTATTGTTTTTTAAATATATTTTATTGATTTTTTACAGAGGAAGGGAGAGGGATAGAGAGTTAGAAACATCAATGAAAGAGAAACATCCATCAGCTGCATCCTACACACTCCCCACTGGGGATGTACCTGCAACCAAGGTACATGCCCTAGCCCAGTCTGCAGGCCGACTCTATCCACTGAGCCAAACCAGTTAGAGCTGTTTTCATTTTTTCAGAAACCAGGAAACTGGTAATGTCTTAGAGGTATCTCTGTACCTTGGTGTTGGCTGCATGGCTTTGGCTGACTGCCTTTACTTCCTCTGTCTCTTGATATCCTGCAAGTAGGGAACGTTGGATTCCTTTCCACATTAACATCCTGGGTATCCACATGGCTCATTGAGAAGTCAGTGCAGTGCCCTGAGACCTTCAGTGGTTGTCTCATCTGGTGTCATCTATCTAAACATTAACAAGGCAGAGAAATAAGAAAGCTAGTTTTATCCATTTTAAACATGAGACATTGCCCCCTCAACTCTCGTGTGACTCAATTTCCTTGAGTGATTCAGAGATTCAGATATCACAATTCTGTTTGCAATTCTATAAGAATAATATATGCAGTAAATGACCATTAGACCATTCTCCCCCCAATCCCCAATGCTCTTTTATGCAGAGACACATCAAAGTTTGATCGAGTATTAACAATGAAAACATACATTTTTGTGCTTTTTGGAAAGAAACTCTTGCATTGCTTTGAGTAGAACCAAGCTGTATGAAATAATAGCAGCTGTTATTTTTCTTTGTTTGTGTTTGTTTGCTTGTTTTAGCAGCTGTTATTTTTAAGACCTTTTAAATGTGTCAAATGCTTTGCATAGTTCTTTCACTTAATCCATGCAGCCACTCTGTGAAATTAGTATCATTATCTCCATTTTATAAATGAGGAAGTTGTCACTCAGAGATTTGAAGTAACTTGCTCTAGCCCTCTCAGTCAGAGTAACAAAGCAAGAGTCACACCCAGGCCTGTCTGAGAAATTGGGTACTTCAGCCTTCAGAGGTGTCCCACTGTGGATATCTGTGCCATGGGAGCTTCGGACATTCTTTGAGCCCCTCTGGGCCTGCCACTTCTAACTCACCTTACCCATGATGAGTGATCGGCACCTTAGTGGCCAGGAGAAAACCCATTCCTAGTCAAAGTCCTTGTCCCCTCACTCCTCAGCTTCCCTCATAGCTTCTGCCTCCTGAGAGTCAGAAATTGTGTGAATGCAAACTCAGGCAGCCCTGCCAAAAAAAAGGAGTGGTCGCATGATGCCAAGCCTGAAAACCTGGGCCAATTTGAGGTAACCAAAGGTACTTTAAGAAGGCTAAAATGTTTTTCTTCACCCAAGAATCCTCTAGGTCAGGGTTTTTTCACACACTGAGCTGGATGCTACTGTTTGGCTTGGTGATATCATCATGACAATATCTGAGAAATCTGCCTTCATGAAGCTCCCTCTTCCCTGTTACACAGGTCTTGCAATTGTTCCATGATTAGATCCTCCTGGTGTGATGTTCATGTCCTGGCCACACCTTTATGCTACTTAGAGGAACTCCCATCTCTGGGATTCATAAGGATAAGTGATATTGTAGCAGGAAGAGCTGGAGAAGAGACTCAGGAGGGAGGGTGGAGACCTCCAAATGACCAAGACATTCGGAGCATGGTACCTGGGGCATGGATTTACTCACAGTTGTACCTATAAACAAGCTCTGTGCCAGGTCTTGTTGCACTGCAACACATTCAAAATTCACCCAGTGAATTAATTGGGTAGGGCTGCCATAGGACCACAGAGTGGCTCAAACAACAGAAATTTATTTTCTCACAATTCTGGAGGTTAGAGTCCAAGATCAAGGTGTCAACTGGGTTGACTTCTGATATTTGTTGTGAATTTGTCAAATATAGCCGTTATTATGTTAAAGCATATTTCCTCTGTTCCCAGTTTGCTGGAAGTTTTTGTCATAAATGCATGTTGGATTTTGTCAAATGCCTTTTCTTCATCTATCGATATCAAGTTATTTTTATTCTTCATTTTGTTTATGTGGTATATTACATTATAATTGATTTGAAAATATTGAACCAACCTTGTATCCAGAGAATAAACTTTACTTGATCATGATGTGTGATCTTTTTAATGTATTTCTGAATTTGGTTTGCTAATATTTTGTTGAGGAGTTTTACATTTTTGTTCACTAGGGATATTGGCCTGTAATTTTTCTCTTTTTTATAGTGTCTTTGATTTTGGTATCATGGTAACGTTGGCCTTGTAAATTGAGTTTGCAGCCTTCTCTTCACTTTGATTTTTTTGAATAATTTGAGGATAGATATTCATTCTTTTAATATTTGATAAAATTCACCTGTGAAGCCATCTGGTTTGTAGTTTTTGTTTGTTGGGAGGTTTTTTTAATACTGATTTAATTTCATAAGTAGTTATCAATCTGTTCAGGTTTTTTGTTTCTTCCTGATTGAGCTTTGGAAGATCGGATATTTCTAGAAATTTAATTAATTTCTTTTAGGTTATTCACTTTGTTCATCTTTTCAAAGAACCAGCGAGATCATCGATCTTTTGTATTTTTTTAGACTTTTATTTATTTCCACTCTGATCTTTATTATTTCCTTTCTCCTACTCACATTGGGCTTTGTTGTTTTTCTAGTTCCTTTAGGTATAAGATTAGATTGTTTATTTGAGATATATTTGCTTTCTTGAGATAGGCTGTATTGCTATAAATTTTTCTCTTAGAACTGCTTTAGCTGTCCTACATGTTTTTTGGTCATGTTTTACTTTTCATTTGCCTCAAGGCATCTTTTGATTTTTTTTTTCTTTGATCTCCTTGTTATCCCCATTCATTGTTCAGTAGCACATTATTTAGCCTCCGTGTATTTGTTTGTATTTTAGTTTTCTTTTCTTTTTTTAAATATATTTTATTGATTTTTTTTATAGAGAGGAAGGGAGGGAGGAGGGAGATAGAGAGCTAGAAACATCCATGAGAGAGAAACATCGACCAGCTGCCTCTTGCACACCCCCTACTGGGGATGTGCCTGCAACCAGCGTATGTGCCCCTGACCGGAATCGAACCTGGGACCTTTCAGTCCGCAGACCGATGCTCTACCACTGAGCCAAACCGGTTTCGGCAGTTTTTTTTTTTTTTTTTTTTTTTTTTTAATAATATCTTTATTGATTTCAGAGAGGAAGGGGGAGGAAAAGAGAGATAAAAAAAAACATCAATAATGAGAGCAAATAATTGATTGGCTGCCTCCTGCATATCTCCTACTGGGGATTAAGCCCAAAACCCAGGTATGTGCCCTTGACCAGAATCGAACCTGGGACCCTTCAGTCTCTAGGCTTATGCTCTATCCGTTGAGCTAAACAAGCTAGGGCTGGTTTTCTTCTTGTAATTGATTTCTAGTTTCATTCTATGTGATCAGAAAAGATGCTTGATGTGATTTTACTTTTTTAAAAAAACGTTTTTCTTCTGAGGTCTTTTTTTATATATACATATTTTATTGATTTTTTACAGAGAGGAAGAGAGAGGGATAGAGAGTTAGAAACATCGATGAGAGAGAAACATTGATCAGCTGCCTCTTGCACAACCCCTACTGGGGATGTACCCACAACCAAGGTACATGCCCCTGATCAGAAATCAAACCTGGGACTCTTCAGTCGGCAGGCTGAAGCTCTATCCACTGAGCCAAATTGGTTTTGGCTGATTTTACTTGTAAATTTATTGAAACTTGATTTTGGGCCTAACATGGTCCTGAAAATTTTTCTATGTGCACTTGAAAAGAATGTATAGTCTACTGCTTTTGAGTGAAATGTTCTAAAAATACCAATTAAATCCATCTGGTCTAGTGTGTCATTTAAGGCTGCTGTTTCCTTTTCGATCCAGACAGAAGTCTGGATAATCTATCTTTGGGTGTCAATGGGGTGTTTAAGTCCCCTACTATGACTGTATAGCTGTTGATCTCTCACTTTTTGTCTGTCAATATTTGTTTTATATATTTAGGTGATCCTACATTAGGAGCATGGATGTTAACTAGAGTTACATCCTCTTCTTGGGTTGACTCCTTTATCATTATGAAATGCCCTTCTTTGTCTTTCACAGGCCTTGTTTTAAAATCTGTTTTGTCTGATACAAGTATTGCTACCCCAGCCTATTTTTCATTTACACTTGCACAAAGCATCTTTTTTACATCCTTTTACTTTTAGTCTTTGTGTATCTTTCAATCTGAAGTGTGTCTCATTAAGGAAGCATATGTATAGGTCTTTTGTTTTTTTTCCCTTTGGTTTTCTTAATCTGTTCACAGCAACCCTGTGTCTGTTGATTGGAGCATTTAGTGCATTTACATTTAAAGTAATTGTTGATAGGTTTGTAGTTATTGCCATTTGGATGTTTTTAAGTTGATGGTAGATTAATTTTGAATATATTCTAAAGCTAAAATTTTTTATTCATTCTGCCCAGATTTATGTTTTGTCATTCATTTTAACTTCTTTTGTGGATTTGTGTATCTGTTAACTTATTGTAATTACACGTGATCTTTCTACTTTTGCCTTTTGACCTTTGTAGTAGGTTTATAGTTGGTTGATCTGCCGCCTTTACTATGAATTTAATTTTTTCAATGGTTTTTTCTTATGTTTTTAATCACATTTTTTATCTTTTCTGCTTAAAGAAGTCCCTTCAACATTTTCTGTAATACTGGTTTAGTAGTAATGAACTCCTTTTTTCTTTTCCTTATCTGGGATCTCTTTTCTCTCCTTCAATTCCAATGATATCTTTGCTGAGTAATCTTTGTTGTAGGTTTTTGCAGCTGATAGTCTTATGTGAGCTCCCTTATATGTAGCTAATTGCTTTTCTCTTGATAGTTTTATAATTCTCTCTTTGTCTTCAGTTTTGGGGATTTTAATTGTGATGTGTCTTGGTATGGACTTCTTTGAGTGTATCTTGTTTGAGACTCTGTGCTTTCTGGACTTGTAAGTCTGTTTCCTTTGTCAGAATAAGGAAGTTTTCTACCTTTCTTAACTTCATTTCATTTTATTCTCATTATTTGTTCAAATAGGTTTTCAATCCCTTGCTCTTCTTATCTCCTTCTGGTTCTCCTATGATGCAGTTGCTGTAACATTTGATGTTGTCCTAGAGTTTCTTTAACTGTCCTTATTTTAAAAAATTCTTGTATCTTTCTGCTGTTCTGGTTTGTTGTTTTCTGCTACCTTATCTTTCAGATGTATTCTTAATAGCTTCTATATCTTTGTTGAGGTTCTCACTAAGTTCATTTTTTCCCCCCACCTAAGTTTATTGAGCATCCTTATAAACAGTTTTGTTTTGTTTTTAACTCTTTATCTGGTAGATTGTTTGACTCCATTTCATTTAGTTCTTCTTCAGTTTTGTCCTGTTCTTTCATTCGGATATTTTTTTTGTCTCCTCATTTTGGCTGATTCCCTGTATGTGTGTGTATGTGTTAGGTAGATCTACATTTCCCAGTCTGTGCAGAGGTCTTATGTTGTAGGTGTCCTATGAGGTCCAGTGCCACAGTCTCCCTGTTCATCTGAGCCCTTTGCTCCAGGAGTGTCCCTTGTATATGTGTGTCTTCCTTTTGTAGTTGAGCTTTGATTGCTGTTAGCACATCAGTGGGTGGGATTGTCCATGCTAACTGATTCTGACTGTTCACCTTGACTACAGCAGACAAGTTGTTTTGTGGGGACTGACTCCATAGAGTGTTGTTTTGTGGGGACTGACTCCATAGAGTGGGAGTACCTTTAGTGGGGTTCTGGTGCTAGCAGAATCCACTTTCAGCTGTTGTTGTTTGTGGACCTGGTTAGATGTGCTGTGAACTTGCCACTTGGTTTATTGGTTCTAGAGCAGTGGTTCTCAACCTTTTTAATGCTAAGACCCTATAATACAGTTCCTCATGTTGTGGTGACCCCCAACCATAAAATTATTTTTGTTGCTACTTCATAACTGTAATTTTGCTACTGTTACTGAATCATAATGTAAATATCTATAGGTTTATTTTTTATTTATTTTGTTTGGGACTTAATGAGATTCTTTAGCCTGTGACTTGGAAAATTTATCTGTTTATAAAATCTTCAAATATTGCCTATGACCCATTCTGTCTTCCCTCATTTGTAGAACTCATTAAACAAATGTTAGACTTTCTTAGTCTGTCATCCATGTCTCTTAACAGCTTTCACATTTTTTTTTTTTTATGTCTTTGAGTAGTGTGGGTTTTTTTCTTAGATCTACTTGTTTACTGCTTATATTTTCAGTATTTTCTTAAAATACCGTAAACATATATATTTTATTCTGGAGTTCATTAATTCCAATGTAATTCTACTTTCTACTATTTCTGCTAGTTCTTACTCTTGATGCTTTGGTGTGTGTTTTTCCAGTGAGCCAGTGAGATGCTCCTTTATCTGTGTTAATTCTTTGAGGATTCAGGTAGATTCCTACAGAAAGAATTTTTATTAACTTCCGTCACAGACCATTGGACACTTTCAATCAATATATAGAATTTTCAGCGTGAGGGTTTTTTTAACCTCTGTAGACATGTCATTTAACTTCAAGGTGCATTTCTGTTTGAGACTGACTTGTTAGTAACTTTTCGGGGAGGGTTTTTTTTGTTGTTGTTTTTGTTGTTTTTTTTTGCTTGTTTCACAGTTCAAACCATAGTTTAAGACAGGCAGTTTACCTTGGTGCCCGGGTGGTAGTGAAGGAATATTTCTACTTTGTGCTTACACGGAGGATATATAGCCTTTGGAGGATGGTTTTAATTAGACTGTCTACCATTGTAGCTCTGCGCTGTATTTGCAACACCCCTTTACTGTAAGATCATGAATGTGCAAAATTACTCTTTTGCCAGATGCCCTCAGGGTGAAAACCCACTTCATTTTTTTCACTCCTGGGTTCCTACTTGGGATTTTGACCAGAACTCATTTCTTTCATGCTAACTCATAAGTGCATTTTTGAAGGTATTTTATCTGTCAATTTTTGTTGTGTTTGTAGCAAGATGATTTTAAAAAGTCTACTTTATTATTCATTTTGCTGGAAGTGAAAGGTTAAAACAACATTTTTTAAGTCCTAAAATCTTACTATTTGGAGAGTTCTGATTATAGGATAATCTATATATACAATGTTTGTAAATTGTCATATAGCTATTGGAGACCAATAATTTATCTTTTTACCACATGCTGCTGATTCCCAGTGAAGATGAATGAATAGATGGGAAGTATGGTGCAGTAATATTCCTAAAAGCAAGAATAAGTAAATACCCTTCTTTTAGGTTCTTTATCATTTAATGCCCCTAGATAGCCACGTGATATAGTTCCCTCTGAATTTATAGTGGAGTACATAATGAAGAGAAGCCATGGACAGGCTAGTTTTGATGTCTGAAATGCATACTCAAGAATTGGTTTAATTCATACATTTCCCAAGTAGAGGGATTTTCAAGGTTTGACTGTTACATGCTTTTATATACCAACCCATTACATTTCCCAAGAAGAGGGATTTTTAAGGTTTGACTGTTACATGCTTTTATATACCAACCCATTTTGAATTGCAATCTGATTGGATAGTAGCATAATGATTAAAGGATAAATAACCAGATATGTGAATCCTCTGGCAGTGTTTGGGAATTAATATTAGAACTTATTTCAATTTTATTTTAAGTTTAAATAATTTTGAATGTTGAAAAAAGTACTAAAGTATGTATTAATACTAATAAAATGGCAAAGTTTTCTTCTCTAGATGGATAAAAAATCAAAAGAAATAAAAATTATTATAATAATTCTTTTCAGCAACCTTTAGTGCAAGAATATCTTGAAAATTTTATTTCTGAAATAATGTATGCATTTTGAATATAAATGTTTTTAAATTATTTTTTAACTAGGTTCAGGAGTTCTGGAAATCTTATTATTACTCGTGAGATTGATGTGGCAAAAAATCAGTCCTTTTGGTTCATCAACAAAAAATCAACAACCCAGAAAGTAGTAGAAGAGCAAGTTGCAGCCTTAAATATTCAAGTGGGCAATCTTTGCCAGTTTCTACCTCAGGTATGAGAGAATTAAATGTAAAGGTAGGAAAGTTTTGAATATAGTGTTTCCTTTTTATGCTATATTAGAGGCCTGGTGCACAGATTTGTGCACTGGTGGGATCCCTCAGCCTGGCCTGGTCTGGTGCTGCACCACTTTGCTCCTGCTCATCCCTGTCCCACCATGCCTACCACGGCTGCCGTTCGGTAGTGCTGCCGTGGAGGCAGGAGAAGCTCATGCTGCCGCAGCTGCCCTTGCTAGCCATGAGCCTGGTGTCTGGCACCCATAAGTCAGCTGAGCAGTGCTCCCACTGTGGGAGTGCACTGACCACCAGGGGGCAACTCTCTGCATTGAGCATCTTCCCCCTGATCATCAGTGTGCATCATAGCGACCGATTGACCAGTCGTTCAGTCACTTAGGCTTTTATATATATATATAGACAAGAATGTAAAGATTACTATTTAAACTGAGCATAGTAGTCTTAATGCTAACAGTTCTTTGTAAGAAAGGTAGCATCTCGTTTCTTACAGCAGCAATTTACAAACCTTTTTCATCTCAAGACACACACAAATTAATTACTAAAATTCTGCGGTACACCAAAAAGTATATTTTTTGCCAATCTGACAACAAAAATAGAGAAAATTTTGATTCATTCACACTGTGCAGCTATTGTTGTATTGGCTGTTGTCATTTTTTTTTTTTTGATAATTTTAGGGGGAAAGGGGTAAGTAAGTGCCCGACTTAGTCAGATATTACATGTTTAAAAATTCTTGCAGTACACCAGTGGGACACACTGATTGAAAATCACTGTTTTAAGGTATTAATTTTATTTCTAGTAATTTGGAAAATTTCAATTAATAGTCTAAGTTATGGAGCATTATACAGGAAATAAAATTATATTATTTTCAAGTACAAAGAATAGGTTGAATTGCTATAGACTTCTGTTTGTTAATTTTTATTAATAAACAACTTAATCATTAGTTTTGTATAAAATATTTGATAAACTAAAATTCTTAAATCTTTAGGCATGCCTGTAACATCTTTATATATTTTATTTTTTTAGTAAAAATAAAACATCTTGCTAATGCATGTTAAATGCTAAAATGAGATGCCTTTTAACTTTATCTTTACTGCTGCCTGGTAATAGTAACTGGATTATAGTTCATTTTTTTTCTTTAAAAACCAGATGTTTAAAATTGCCTTTTTTTTTTTTTTTTTTCACCTTCTAACATTCCAATTGATGTGTGGTAGATGATCATTTTGACTATTTTCTCTTATCCCAAACTGCTTATTATTTATATAAAAATCTCTGAAACTGGAGATATTGACATAGAATTTTTTAATTTTTACTTAATTTATTGGCGTGACATTGGTTAATAAAATAGTATAGGTTTCAAAGAGTACAATTCTGTAATATGTCATCTGTATATTATATTGTGCATTCACAAACCCTAGTCAAGTCTCTTTTCATTACCATTTATCCTCCCTTTCTCTTTTACCTCCTTCCCCACCACTTTCCCTTTGGTAATCACCATACTGTTGCCTGTGCCTGTGAGTTTGTGTGTTTTTGTTTGTTTCTTAATCCCTTCACCTTTTTTTGCCAGCCTTCTAACTCCCTCCCCCTCTGACAGCTGTCTGTCTCTTCTCTGTGTCTGTGAGTATTTCTATTTTGTTTATTAATTTCATTAGATTCCATGTATAAGTGAAATCATATGGTATTTGTCTTTCTCTGCCTGGCTTATTTCACTTAGCATAATAATCTCTAGGTCCAGTCATCTTATTGCAGAAGGTAAGAATTCCTTCTTTTTATGGCTGAGTAATATTCCATTGTGTAACTGTACCATAATTTTTTTTATCCACTCATCAACTGATGGTCTCTTGGGTTGGTTCCAAATCTTGGCTGTTATAAATAATGCTGCAGTGAACTAAGTGTGCATATATTCGTTCAAATTAGTGTTTCAGATTTTTTTTCGATATATTCCCAGAAGTGGAATAGCTAGGTCAAAAGGCAGTTTGATTTTTAATTTTCTGTGATAGCTCCATACTGCTTTTCACCAACTGCATTCTCACCAACAACAGAAGAAGGTTCCCTTTTCTCCACATCCTCGCCAAAACTGGTTTGTTGATTTAATGATGAAAGCCATTCTTATAGGTGTGAGGTGATATCTCATTGTAGTTTTAATTTTCATTTCTCTGATTATTAGCGATGTTGAGCATCTTTTCATATGTGTCTATTGGCCTTCTGTATGTCCTCTTTGGAGAAATGTCCATTCAAGTCGTTTGCCCATTTTTACTTGAATTGTTTGTTTTTGGTTGAGTTTTAGAAGTTCTTTATAAATTTTGGATATTAAGCCCTTATCATATGTATCATTGAATATGTTCTCCCATTCAGTGGGTTGTCTTTTCATATTGTTGATGGTTTCTTTTGCTGTGCAAAAACTTTTTAGTTTAATTTAGTCCCATTTGTTTATTTTTTCTTTTGTTTCCCTTGCCAAAGGCGATATACCAAAAAAAAAAATGTTGCTACAAGAAATGTCCAAGATTTTACTGCCTATATTTTCTTCTAGGATTTTTATGGTTTTGAGTTCAACATTTTTAAGTCTTTAATCCATTTTGAGTTTATTCTTGTGTAGGATATAAGAAGGTGTCCACCAAAAAATTTTAAAGGTTCTCAAAAAGATGATAGTTTATACCCTAAGTTTATTTCTATTATTTTAAAGAATAATATATGAAAGGACACAGTTTATATTAAGAGCACATCTCAAAATATTTTTTTCTCTTATTTCATCTTAACAAGTGTGATCATTAAGTGAAAAATATTTTGGAGATATTTATAAATGATAATAGTTGCTAATATTTAAATTTTGTGCTCTAGGATAAAGTTGGAGAATTTGCAAAACTCAGTAAAATTGAACTACTTGAAGCTACTGAGAAGTCGATTGGTCCTCCAGAAATGCATCAATATCACTGTGAACTCAAAAACTTCAGGGAAAAAGAAAAACAACTAGAGGTAATTATAAATGGACAACTCATTTTAATTGCCCCTCATTGATTTCTATGTCTCAAAATGTGAAAAAGTGAGTTCTGATACATTGAGTAAATTCATATATTTGTGATTTTTTTTTCATACAGGATTGTATTGCTAACATTAATTGAATTAAGTTACAAAAAATGAGAATAGAAATGTAAAGTTTGAAATTTTTTACTATCATTTCATCGAATATATGTTATTGAATTTCTAAGGAACTAATAATAGTGGTATAAAGCATTTTTGTCTCAGAAGTTTCAGTATTATTCTCTTAATATTTATCTACTATGTGTCAGGCATTTTGTAAGCTTTGGATAAGTGCAGCAAATACCATACAGTTTTTAATATAGTGTCTCTATTCAGCCAGTTCTATTATTATTTCAGTTGTATGAGGGTAAACTTTGTAAGAAAACGATACATTTAGTAGAAGTGTTGATTTTTTTATCTTTAATAAAACAAATTAAAATGTCTCTTTTTGCATTGTTTGTAAAGGTGTTTTATTTAATGAATCATTTCTCAGGGCCCATAAACTAAAATAATTCTGTAAGTTTTTGTATTAAGATATCTTATAAATGCTTTTTCTTGTACTGTAACTGTTTATACTTTATGTTTTTGTTATAATTTAGTATTATTTTTCTTATTACACTTATTCAGAGTGAATGATCAAAGGAGTTGTAATTATTTTACCTTCAGATCTCTTTTTACCATTCTCAAATCAATCTAATATTCCCACCTGAAACACTCACTGAAATTACCTACTGTCATGTGAAAGAAAAAAAAGCATATATTATACTAAATTCCAAGTACATCTTTGTATTTGTTATTTTGCAGTACCTTTTCTTCATCTCATTTCTAAGTCCTTACATCATGGCTATTCATAACATTGATATTTTCATTTGTTTATCACATTACAGTTTATGAGCTTTTATACAAAGCAAGTAAACTGCTTCTACCCTTGAGATGAGTGAGGCATTTAACTTTCTTCTCTTTAAGCAAGAAGAGTCTAGGCTCAGTGAGGTGGCAGGGCTTTCTCAGAGTCATATGACTAATAAATTATAGTGCCTAGACCAGTGCTTACACATGCATGTTTTCCATAGTTTTGTTTTTTTGTTGTTGTTTTGTTTTGTTTGTTAATCCTTACCTGAGGATATTTTCCCATTGATTTTTAGTGAGAGTGAAAGAGAGAGGGAAAGACAGAAACATGGATATGAGAATGACACATCGATTGGTTGCCTCCTGCACATACCCTGACCGGGGCCCAGGCGGGGGAGGAGCCTGCAACCAAGGTACATGCCTTTGATCCTAATAGAACCTGGGGCTCTGGTCTGCAATCTGACGCTTTATCCATTGAGCAAAACTGGCTAGGACTATTTTACATAGTTTTTAAGAACTTCTGTGGAATTCTTTAGTGTAAAATTTTGTTAAATAAAATACGCTTTTTATTATTTAAAAATTTGACCTGTTTTTTTTTTTTTTCAGTTAAACTAATAGTTTAAACAAATATTTCTTTTAGACCTCATGCAAAGAGAAAACAGAATATCTAGAGAAAATGGTTCAGAGGAATGAAAGATATAAACAAGATGTGGAGAGGTTCTATGAACGTAAACGACATTTAGATTTGATTGAAATGCTTGAAGCTAAAAGGCCATGGGTGGTAAGTTCTTAGTTATTAGAGACAAAAATAGTGATTCTTGAAGTAAGTTAGAAAGGACTCAAATTCCAATTAGGTGCTTTTTTTCATTTTTGCTTTTATAACCTTAATATATAAAGAGCCAGGGCCATTACGCCCTAAATGTCTGGACCACTGAACATCAGGCTAGGGTCCTGGCCGGTGCAGTGGAAGTCATTCCTGGGTCCCAGCTACCCGCAGTGTGATGGCAGGTGGGAGCTCTGGGAACTGAGCCATGCTGCCCTCGGACTGGCCTCTGAGTCCCTCCCCCCACCTCCAATTCTGGGGAACCAGGGCATTGCTGCCATCAGACTGGCCTCTAGGTCCCTCCCCCTGCCTGTAGGCTCTGGGGAACCAGAGCCGTGCTGCCATCTGGGAATCTTGGTCCCTCCTTCTGCCCGCATGCTGCAATTGGACTGCCTCTTGGTTCCGGCCCTCAGGCCCAGGGAAACAGAGCCATGCTGCGATGGGACTAGACCCTACCCAAGGGGTCCCCGATTATGAGAGCATGCAGGCTGGGCTGAGGGACTCCCCCATGAGCCTCTAGTATATAATAAAATGTATCTGTCTCTGTGTTATTATATAGCTGTGTGCTATGTTATTAACATAGTAGCAAGTGACAGTTTACTAAGTCTAAGGACTCAAATCTGGGATTTCTTCCAATTTTTTGTCCTAAACAGATAGCTTTGTTTTATAAAATGGTGATGATATAAAAATGTTTACACATGTAAAAATTAAATTGAGTGGCTTCTGGTCACGAAAAATTTACTTGGAGTGTGCTATTAATATCAAATTCGGCTATATACAGGTAGCTGAAGGATATAAACTGTAATCTTCGACTCACATGCTTCATAAGTTTTTTGAGGCTACTGTTTCTAATCACTGTGTGATGTATATTTTATTATTTATGACTGCAGTTTGAACTAAAGATTCAATTCCTTCATTGCATTCCTTTACAGTGGATGAAAAGAAGTAAAGTTTTATAATGTTTGTTCCAGGGTTGGGATGGAAATAATTGTTACTAGATTGGAAAAATATGTTCCTCTATTTTAGTCCTTCTCACCCCCTGCCGTTATTTCACCCTACCCTGTTTCATAATTCCATTATTAAACTTTTTCCATTCTTCATTTTTATTACATTTTTCTATATCCATTAGTACTCTTGCATTTACTTTATCTTTGTTTTACGAAGTTTTCAGTTTTTCTTTTCTAATATTGACATCAGTCTTTTTTTTTTTCTTTTTTGCTTTACTCTAATGTTTACTTAACTTCCTCTTACTGCTCCACTCATTTTTATTAATTTCTGTGACATAAAAAGCATCATTTTCACCTGCATGCTTTTTTGTTTTTTGTTTTTATACTCATTTTCCTTTTGTCTTATACTTTTTCATTTTTATATTTCATAACTGAATTTCTTTTGCTTTATACATTCCTGTGTCCCTTCTCTTTTGAGAGACTAGAAGAGAACTAGCCATTACTAGCCATTAGGATATCAGAAACAGGAGGAGATGGATATCAGAGTCCAACTACTGATGGAGATAAATGCTTAATGAGTTTCAAGACTCTTAGTAAACCATTGTGTTCATATTCACTATTTCTGAAGTTGTTTCAGAGGGCAAATGTTATATTAATAGACCTGTCAAATGGATATCAAAACAGTCTTTTCAGATTTAGTTTCTGCTTCTACCTTGATGTTAGATATGTGTTAGTTTAAGCTAGTAGTGCATTAACTTATGGTTTGTTTTTTTTAAATAATTGCAAGGAATATGAAAATGTTCGTCAGGAATATGAAGAAGTAAAATCAGCTCGTGACAGAGTAAAGGATGAAGTAAGAAAACTTAAAGATGGGCAGATTCCTATAACACGTCGAATTGAAGAAATAGAAATGCAGCGTCACAATTTGGAGGCTCAAATCAAAGCAAAGGTACTTTCCTGGCTCAATTTTGGACTGCTGTATTTTATTTGAGCACATACAAGAAATATTTTGCAAGACATGTAGCGTTGATTCCTTAAGTTTTTTAACTAGAAATTGTACCACCATAGGGCTTGCAACGTTCCAATCATCACTGTTGTAAGGTTTCTACTTTATAGAAATATCAAGATATAAAAAGAGGAAAACAAAATATGATTAATTATAAGAGGATTCAAGTAATATTCCTGAGAACAGTTTAAACTATGGACTCTGCTACTCTATAGGAGTATTTTTTGAAAGAACATGAGAAAATAAATGTGAAGAAACTAAAAAACATGTCTGCATATTGCTATAGTTGTTTTTAATACCCATAGGAATAAACTCCTATAGATTTGCAGATAATGTGTTTTGGGGGTATTTTTGGTGATAATGATATATTTGGTTTGAAAGAAATCATGGAAAAGCATTGTGGGTTAACTTACATAACAATATTTGGATGGGAGAAGCACATAACTTATTTTACCTGAGTTTTTAACATCTTTCCCCTTCTGGTTCAATCTTACAGGCAACAGATATTAAGGAGACATCTCAAAAATGCAAACAGAAGCAAGATGTTATAGAAAGGAAAGATAAGCATGTAAGATTTTTGTATTGAAATTTTTATTATACTGATTTGCCCTAATGTTTGTGTTCGGGTCTGGATTTTGGGATCACCTTTAGTTTGGGAATTGTCTTAACATCTTCCTTATTTTCTATTTTTTATAATCTATGAGGGAACTAATGTTTGGAAATATAACTGTTGCAAAGAGGATAAGTAGGTAAAATTGCTCAAAACTAATCATAGATGTACATTATCATCTTTATAGCTGGGCTGGGTGGCTGTACTTTTTTTTTTAATAGGGTAATGATAAAATTGGATTCAGTTACCTTAATAGCAAAAAAATTAATCATAAGGAATTTATTTTGTTTATTTCAAGAGGAGGCATTAAAAAGCTGATTACAAAGTATTTTTTATGGGTAGGACTTCAGGCAAAATTATTTTAGAGTGTTTGGCGTGAAAGTGGGGTTTTAGTTAACAAATCTCCAAATGTAAGTGGGGTTCTATTTTCTAAGACCATTCAACAACTAAATTTTAAATGATCTGTCTTGGGGGTAGATACTCAGCCTCACCCCTTTTCCTGTGCCTTTGTCTTCAAGTCCAAGGCTTCTTTCATTTATTTCCCTAGAGAATAAACCTCAAATTTTCATGGCAGAAGCTTTGGCTGCCAGTGTTATGTGCTCAAGGTATGTGAATGGGTACATTTGGGTAGGAGGTAGTGCTGGAGTAATTATGTTCTACATGATGTCTATACTTGACATTTCCTTGTTCTAAGAGTCTTTGGGATATTTTTTCTTTTTTTTAGAATTGAAAACTCTTTTATTGTTCCTATCTCTTTCGCTCTTTTTTTTTTTTTTTTTTTTTTTTAAAGCATTATATTAGTTTTAGGTATATAACATAATGATTTGATATTTGTATACTAGAGGTTCTCAGCCCAGCCTGCACCCTCTCCAATCTTGATCCCTCTCACAATCCAGGACTGCTGGTTCCCAACCACTCACCTGTCTGCCTGATTGCCCCTTACTGCTTTTGCCTGCCAGCCTGATCTCCCCTGCTGGCCCAATTGTCCCTAACTGCCCTCCCCTCCAGGTTCCCCCCCATCTGCCCTCCCTTGCAGAGCTGCGCCCCCCACCCCCCCACTACTGCCCTTCCCTGTAGGCCTGAGTCACTCCCATGTGCCCTTCCCTGCAAGCCTGGTCACACCTAACTGCCCTCCCCTGCAGGCCTAATATCCCCCAACTGCCCTTCCTTTCAGACCTGGTTCCCCACAACTGCCCTCCCCTGCAGGGCTGGTCCTCCCCAACTGCCTTCCCTTGCAGTCCTGGGTCCCCCACCAACTGCCCTCACCTGCAGGCCTGGTTACTTCTAACTGCCCTCCCCTGCAGTCCTGATCTCCCCAGCTGCCCTCCCTTTCAGGCCTGGTCCCTTCCATCTGCCCTCTCGTGCTGGCCATCTTGTGGTGGCTATTTGACCACATGGGGGCAGCCGTCTTGTGTGTTGGAGTGATGGTCAATTCGCATATTAGGATTTTATTATATAGAATGTTGTGAAATGATCATATAATAAGTCTAGTTAACATTCCTACTGTCCATAGTTACAAATTTTTTTAACTGTATATTTGTACCTTCTGACCCTCCAACACCCATTTTACCCATCCATTAACATCTCCCATCTCTGGCAACTATCAATCTATTATCTGTGTCTAGGAGCTTATTTCACTTTGAATAGCCCTCAGGTTTCATCCATGTTGTTGCAAGTGACAGGATTTACTTCTTTTTTATGGCTGCATAATATTCCATTGTAAATATATCACATTTTCCATTTATCCGTTGATGAACACTTAGATTTCTGTTTCCATATCTTGGCTATTAAAAATAATAGTGCTGTGAACATGGAAGTACATATTTCTGTTAGGTGTTTTTGTTTCCTTCAGATAAATACCCAGAAGTGGAATTGCTAGATTATACTACTTCTATTTTTAATTTTTTGAAGAACCTCCAAGGATGCTCCCAACCCAGGCACGTACCCTGACCAGGAATTCAACTATGACCTCTTGGTTTGTAGGTCGATGCTCAACCACTGAGCCACCCTGGCCAGGCAATAATTGTGGTCTTTATAACTTCATTTTAGAATTTTTTAAAAGACTTCTTTGGACTTTTATATTTAGTTATTTACATGTTTTATGTATATTTTAAAAGAATGTGTAGTTTGTCTTTCGGTCTGGAGATATATGTTAGAATAAGCTTACTATAATTATTTTTACACAAATGTCCTACTTTTTTTTTTTACCTATCTGATTTTTCATTTTATATATATATATATATATATATATATATATATATATATATATATATATATATATATTTTTGACTTTTTACAGAGAGGAAGAGAGAGGGATAGAGAGTTAAGAGACATCAGTGAGAGAGAAACATTGATCAGCTGCCTCTCCTGCACACCCCCTACTGGGGATGTGCCCACAACCAAGGTACATGACTACCGGAATTGAACCTGGGACCTTTCAGTCCACAGGCTAATGCTCTATCTACCAAGCCAAATTGGTTAGGGCTGATTTATTCATTTTTAAGTGTCAGTACCTATGAGTGTAGATTTATCTATTTATTTTTAATTATATTTTTGCTTCCTAGATTTTAAAGCATTTTTTTATTCTTTCTATATCATGTTTTGATTCATTTTATTTACTATAAATAATATATAGTGGGCTTTATTTTGAGTTTTGTTTTTTTTCTATTTAGTGTGAGATACTTCATACAGTAAAGGAGTGTAGCCAATTCACATTTACTGTTGTTAACTACTTACTTTGCATGGTTTGATTCCTCCCGTGCCCCTTTCTACTTCGCTGTTGTTGATCAAGATTTTCTTAATTCATTTTTTCTGAAGTTATATATTTTAAATCTATTCTACTGATTACTCTTAAAGCTTAAAACATTTTTTTCTTTAATATATTTTTATTGATTTGAGAGAGAGAAACATCAATGATGAGAATCATTGATTGGCTGCCTCATGCACACCCCCTGCAACCTGGGCATGTGCCCTCATCTGGTATTGAACCATGACCTCCTGGTTTATAAGTCAATGCTCAACCACTGAGCCATACTGTCTGGGCTTCTTCCATATCTTTCATTCTATCTCTTTCTCTAACCCTCCCCATTTTAATAGATTCCATGGCATTTTCTACATAGACAGTCATGTCATCTACAAATGAGGATAGCTTTATTTCATCCTTTCTGATTTGTATGCCTTTTATTTCTGTTTTTTCTTCCTTATGCACTGGCTAAAACTTCCATCACTGTGTTAAATAAGAATAGTGAGCTTAGGCATTTTTGCCATTTTTCTGTCTTAGGCGGAAAGCATTCAGTATTACACCGTCCTATATAATAAAAGGCTAGTGTGTAAATTGACCAAATGCAGAACAGTCGCTATGATGCACACTGACCACCAAGGGAGCAGACTCTCAATGCAGGAGCTGCCCCCTGGTGGTCATTGCGCTCCCACAGGGCGAGCATCACTCAGCCAAAGCTGGGGTTATGGCTGGCGAAGGCAGCAATGGTGGCAGGAGCCTCTCCTGCTGCTGCGGCAGCACTAAGGATGTCCAACTGACATCCTAAGCCATCAGGAGACATCCCCTGAGGACTCCTGGACTTGGAGAGGGCACAGGCTGGACTGAGGGACACCCTCCTTCCAGAGTGCACGAATTCCATGCACTGAGCCTCTAGTATTACAGTATTATATAATACTAGCTGTAATTTTTTATGGTTATTCTTTATCAAGTTTAAAAATTCTATTCATGTGTTTTTGAAAGAGTTTCCGCTTCTGTTTTTTCAGGGATATTGTATGCAATTGGTAATTCTCCTTTAAATATTCTGAATAATTATCAAATGATACTGTCTGGATCTGGATATTTTTGAGGTGGAGTTTAAAGTTATGAATTAAACTTAATAGTTAAGGCTATTCAAATAATCTCAAATTAGATGAGTTGTGTTAGTGTTTTTTGAGGAATTGGTTTATTCTCTCTTAAATTGTTAAATTTATATGTTTTATAGATTCTCTAGTTAACCTTTTGATATTTGTAATGTCTGTAATGATACAGTGTTCCATTTATGATATTGGTAATTTGTTTCTTCTGGGATTTTTTTTTTTTTCTTTGTCAATCTTGCTAGAGTTTTGTTAAATTTAATGTTTTTTTAAGAACCAGCCTTTGTTTAATTGATTTTTCTCTTTTCATTTTCATTGATATCATTCATATCTTTATTATTTCCTTTCCTCTGCATTAGTAGGTATATTTTGCTCTTTTTTTTTAGGCTCTTAAGGTAGAAAGTCAGATTGAGATTTTTCATCTTGTGAAAAGTCTCAATTTGACCTTTATTAGTATAAATTTTCCTCATTGCTTATTTAGCTGTGTCCACAAATTCTGATAGTATTTTTTTGGTTGGTTCGTTTGTATTTTCATTTATCTTGAAATACAATTTGTTCATTTGTCATTGGTGGACATTTACCGGTAGGTTGTTTTTGCTTTAGGGATATAATCAATAAAGCTGCCATAAATATTTCATATACATTTATTGATGAACATATATTTTTGTTTCTCTGATAATATTCTAGAAGTAGAATATCATAGGCCACATAGTTTCCCAAAATTATTGTTAGTAATCTGTTGTAATTGTAATTAATAAAAGTTGACTGTGATGGCTTGAAATTTTTTTATAAATTGTTCTTCATAAATAATTTGAGAAACACTGCTTTGAGTAACCTTGCATGATTAGATTTAGTTAGGTAGCTATGAGAACTCTCCTTACATTATCCTATCTTATAAAAGCATAATATGCAAGTTAACTGTTACTCTGCTACAAAGATGGTGGCGCCCATAGTGCCGGTGGGATGCTAGTGTCCCACTCTCAGGCCTCAGAGGGAGGAAAGGCTGCAGACAGAACGCTGGGCTGCTGGGCCAGGGACGTGCTCTGAGCCGCCACACTATAGCTAAGGCCCACTCCCCGTCAGTAGGACTTCTCCTGAGAGCTCCCAGTCTGTTAGAGGGGGCAGTCTTGGCTGAGGGACCGCCCCCCCCCACCCCATCCAGTGCACGAATTTCATCAACAGGCCTCTGTACAAGACAAAGCAGAGTGAGTACTGCTGGAAGTTGAGGTGATAGATAAAATGGGAAAAGCACTTTGATCAGAGGACTCTGATTTTGAATATGCCATTAGAAGTGTAAGACAAGAACATTAGCTAAATGATTAGAGAGCCTATAGCAATAAAGAATTGAGGAAGGAGGGAAAGATGTGAATTCCTCTCAGAATGTAACAAATTACAACTACATTTGTTAGAGAAACACAATTGGTTGTTTGAAGTGCCTATTTAAGTTTTGTGGCCACAGATTTAAAGTGTGGCTGATTTTAGAGAGTTTCTCCAGTTAGTTTAATTGCTTACATACAGATAGATAAAAGGTATATAGTTAAGTTTAAGAATTAGGCTTTCTCCTAGCCTGTGTGATAATAGGATTAGTGGTGTGTCAATACTGTAGGTCTTTGCAAGGGAGTGGTTATAGTGGAGGGTTCTGAAACCTCAGCAGGTTAAAGAAAGAAATGATAGTTTTTTTTTAAAGGTACTAAGGTTGCCGAAACCAGTTTGGTTCAGTGGATAGAGCATCAACCTGTGGACTGAAAGGTCCCACGTTCGATTCCGGTAAAGGGCATGTACCTTGGTTGCGGGCATATCCCCAATAGGGGTGTGCAGGAGGCAGCTGATCAAAGTTTCTCTCTCATCGATGTTTCTAACTCTCTATCTCTCTCCCTTCCTCTCTGTAATAAAATCAATAAAATATATATTTTTTAAAAAGGTACTAAGGTCAATGGATTGCAGGACCCGATGGGGGTCAAAAGATGGTTGAAATAGGAATACTATAGCAAGTAAAATGGAAGGAAAGGAAATGGTGATCACAGAGTAGTATTGTGGATATAGAGTTTTCAGAAGTATGATTTAGGGGATATTTAAATAATCTAGAATATAACAGTAAGAGAAGGTGGATGAGGGAGGAGGCTTTTAGGTAAAGATGGGTGAAGGTGCCTTAGCCGGTTTGGCTCAGTGGATAGAGAATTGGCTTGTGGACTGAAGGGTCCCAGGTTTGATTCCGGTCAAGGGCATATGCCAGGGTTGTGGACTCGTTCTCCGGTAGGAGGCTTGCAGGAGGCAGCCAATCAATGGTTCTCTTAAATATATATATATATATATATATATATATATATATATATATATATATATATGTGTGTGTGTGTGTGTGTGTGTGTGTGTGTGTGTGTGTGTAAATGTATATATTTAATGGGTAAAGTTGAAGTCAAGGAACACAGAGACCAGAGTTAGATTTATTTTTCTGTATTAATGTTTAAGTCTCATGATGACAGACATAATGATGGAGAGGACAGCATTGAGTCAGTCTGGTATTAAAGTCATCACTGAATGAAGAGGGTAAGGAAGACTTTTGAGGGAGGTAGGTAATAACCTAGCGACAAAGGTGATGATGGTAAAATCTGATCACATGATCTTCAAAGGAACTGAAGTGGGGCTGTTAATGGAGGAAGTAGTATAGTGGGAATTAATCAGTTCACCTTCCTGACCTTTGAGTCCTAAAGTGCTTGGAAGGAAAAGGTCACACTTCAGAGGGCTCTAGGGAGAAGTGTGTCAGGAATGGCCAAATTTTAGTTAGTACAAGAAGAGAAATGGAAGATAGCAGAAGATTGGTGAAGATTGGTGATCTAGGAGGCTTGGACTTACTGTACCAGAGCTAATAAACAAGGGTGTGATGGGATTAGTCATTGTAGTTTCTTGGATGATTTTTTTTATGTGTCTCCATTTTGCTGGGAGGGCAAGATTATTTTAATTTTTAAAAAAATATAATTGTTTAAGGCATTACAAATAGTAGTACATATGTCTCCTTTTTATTTTAAATTTCTTGTTTTTCATGGACTTGGACTTCCTCGTGTGTTTGGTGATTCTTAATTCTATGCCTGTCTTCTATGATATGTCTATTCTCTTGAATGGTTTGGACTCTGCTGGCTGAACTCTATGGTTTTTTGTTTGCTTCCTTCTTTTAGACACATTGAATATTGTTAATTTTCAGATATATAACTTAATTTTTCAAATATAGTTTTTTTCCTGTGCATTGGGACAGGTGAGGGGATTTTGGCATATGTTTTGTTTGCTATCTTAACACTTCCAAAGCTAAGTTTTTAGGAAGAAGAAATTGATACTAACCCATTCCAACAATAGAGAATGGGTAATAGTATGTCCATATAACAGGACATTATGTGGGTATTAAAATTATATTTTGCAAGAACATATAAGGATAATGAGAAATTGCTCTCAATACGTTTTTAGTCATGCCATTTAGTAAAACGTGTTCTATGGATAGGCAATAAAATGTAATGTGTAACTGCATTAAGATTATAGATTTTAAAAAGTATGTCTTTATTGATTTCAAAGAGGGAGGGAGGGAGGGAGGAACATCAGTGATGAGAGAGATCATTGATTGGTTGCCTCTTTTCACCGCGCCCACCCCCCCCCCCTTTCTGGGAATCAAGCCCACAACATGGGCATGTGCACTGAAGGAAACCGAATCCTGACCTCCTGGTTAATAGGTTGATACTTAACCTCTGAGCCATGCCAGTCAGGCAAGATTATAGAATCAATATGTTGTTTCTTTTATAATGAGAAAATAAATGTGACTTGGAAAAGAAGTAAGCTAATAGGCAAATTATGAGATGTGTTAGTCTTGTCTGTCTATACTAATAAAAGAGAAATATGTAAATTGACCATCACTTTGCGACACCCACAGCCAAACAGTAGTGATTATACAAATTAACCCGACAAATATGATGGCGGCCCTGCCCTCTGGCGGCCCCTGGTCTCTGGACAGCATGTCTCCTCAGGGCCTCCCTGAGGTCCTCCATACCTGTCAACCATCCTTGTACCCAGCCATACCGGCCTCAGAGGCAACCCTCTGGTGCCTGAGGTCGTAGCTCCCACTGTCTGGTGTCTCCTGCCTCCTTCTACCCAACCCTTGCCCTGCTGCTCTGATAAACAAAACCCTAGCACTGGAGCAGCCTCATGGGCACAGATGTACGCCGGGAACTTGCTTGGTACACAGTGTGCCCATGGATCCCCAGGCCGGCCAAGGGGCAGAGTGTGCAGAGCTGCCACCGCCGCCACCACTGCACAGGCTGCTGGAGTGAGCCCACCATGTGCTGGCAGCCAGGGGAAGAAGGCCTATTTTTGCATGAATCTTTGTGCATTGGGCTTCTGTTTTTGATACAAAATTATATTTTATTTAATAAAGTGGGTGCTGTCTGTTTTGACAAAAATTTCACTGACAACTTATATATAGGTTTAAAAAAAAAATTTTACCCTGAATATAAGTTAACAAATTTAAACCTACAGGTTGATTTTTAAAAATCTCAGTTAATTTGAAGTGTTAGTAGAAAATAATTTTGTTGGAAGAAAATAGTTTAAAATTAAAAGGGTAAAATAATCAATTCTATTATTAACTTTATTCAAAGTATCATACTGTGTGACTTTTAATTTCAGTGTTATGATATGAATGAAGCATGTATTTACTTTCTATATTTATTTTATATATATAAAGATATATAAATATATATATTTAGAGGAAGTAAATACATGCTTCCTAGATACTTGGTTGGGTTTATAAATAATTTGTTTATTCAGCAAATACTTGAGTGTTAACTATATTTTAAACACTGCTATAGGTACTTAAGATGTATTAATGAACAAGTAAAGATATAGATAACCTGGTAAGAGTAACAGTCTAATTCTAGCAGAATAACTTTTATTGAGGAAAACAATCATGTACTTAGATTTTTTGCATTTTGAAAACTATATTACTATAAAAACCTTATAAACTAGGAGGGGAAAAAACAATCTCCAGTACTAACTGTCTTTTGTTTTATTAGATTGAGGAACTTCAGCAGGCTTTAACAGTAAAACAAAATGCAGAGCTTGACCGACAAAGGAGAATAAGTAATACCCGAAAAATGATAGAAGATTTGCAAAATGAACTGAGGACCACAGAAAACTGTGTGAATCTTCAACCCCAAATCGATGACATTACAAATGATCTGAGACGAGTTCAAGATGAAAAGGAATCATGTGAAAGCGAGATAATTGATAAGCTTAAAGAAAGGGAAACTCTAGAGAAGGAGAAAAAGAGTAAGTTTTATTAAATTTAGGATGAAGAGATGTTTATAAAATGGAGCTACATCTCTGATGATGGGCTTTCTTTTTTCCCTCTGACATGTCTTTAAATATTCAGATCTTCCTGTTGAGGAAGCTCAACTCAATTCTTTGAACTTGGTGCCTTAATATTACCTATGGCTATCATGTGTCATGATTTGCCAATGGCTGGCCATTGTCTTCAATCAGATTATGTGAATTTATTTAATTCTCTAAAAATGCTTTGCTTTCTTTACAGTCACTCACTATTCTCATATCAAATTTAAGCTTCTTTATTCTAGCCTTCATAAACTTTCTATTTACTTTATTCCTTGAAGCCTGTCCAGTTATATCTTTTCTTTCTTTCTAAGCATGTCAAATTCGCAATAAACAAGGCATGTGGCTCTGTGGCCGGAAATTTGACATGCTTGTGTATAGACCATGTGGATAGATCTATAGCATTATTCAAATAGAGGATATGCCATATTATATTTGTTTGCTATGTACATATAAAATCCATTTTTTAAAAGCACCCATTTTTATATATTTATTAAAGTACTCAATGTGTATAGTTAAAAAACAAAGAAAATTAGAACAGAAGGGAAGCCCAACATGTTGCTAATTTCCAGACCTCCTCTCAAGAGTAAGTACTTTTTACTATTTCAACAATTTTTTCTAATAGTTCTTTATGTATTTTCAGCATATTCTTTTTTACCATAGCTTAATTTGTCAATTTTAGACTTATTTTTATAGTTGACATTATTTCAGCTATTCCCCATATTCCCCCCACTCCCCCATTTACCCTACTCCAACCAACAACCCTGCCCCACCCTGGCCTTCACCACTTTATTGTCCGTGTTCATAGACTATGCAAATCCTATATAATAAAAGGCTAAGGCTAATATGCAAAATGTCCCCTTGGGAGTTCGACTGCTTGCTCTGACATGCGCTAAGAGAGGGCAGCATGGAATGAAGGCAGGCCCTGGCCAGCAGCCAGGGGAAGGCAGGCCGTATCGGTCCTGATTGCTGGCCAGGCCTAGGGACCCTACCTGTGCATGAATTTTGTGCACTGGGTCTCTAGTGTGTGTGTGTGTGTTCTTTAGTTAATCTCTTCCTACATCCCCACCCTACTCCTCTCTGGGATCTATCTGTCCCATTCATCTATGCCTTTGGACCTATTTTGTTTGTCAGTTTATTATACTCATTAGATTTCACATATAAGTGAGATCATGTGATATTTAGACATTGTCTTTTAATATTTTGTTACTTTAGATATAGCTTAAGTTCATAAATCCCCTCCCCATTATTGTAGTTCCTTAAGTGAGATTATTATGTATTAATCAAAATTTATTAATATAATGAATAATTTTTTTTTTTGGTCATTTAACAGTTGTCGCTGTTTCTTGAATGTATACTGTAAGCTAAAAATACTAGTACTCCCATCCTTTCTTTTTACTTTCCTCGCTTCTTATATTCTAAATTCTTTAATCTTTACTCTGGTTTTTATATTGTTAAGGCTGAAAACATTTTGTTGAGAATCATAATCAAGTTTTATGTGCTCTGTTTAAGGGTTATCTCTTAAGTTGGAAATATTAAGTATTCATATTATCTCAATGAAACTTGTTCATAATATTGTATTTATGGTTTAATTTCCTTTCATTGATAGCTTTTTTAAAGGTTATAATTTACCTTTTTTTTTTTTTTTTAGCACCATTTTTACCACTTTCTTAGATTGAAAAACAAAACAAAACAACTTAACAGGCATTCTCTTGAGTTCTGGAGCCTGCCATCCTTGTCCTTTCTAAACTGATTGTTTTCAAGGCCTTCTGCATGGCAGTCATCTGAAATTTTTCTCAGATCCTTTTCTGTGTTGGATAAAGCTATTTCGGAATTCCATGTCTCCTGGGGTTTTTTCCTACAATATTCTCTTATTTTGTTAGAATACATCTTTAGGTAACCACCTAAGAAGGGGTACTAGAGAATTAATTTTAGAGTCTTGACATCCTAGAAAATATCTTTATTTCATTATCCCTGTTTTTCAATGTTGTATATATAATGTTAAGTTTAAAATAATTTTTCTCAGAATTTTGAATGCCTATCATTCTTTTTTATCTGACCTATTTTTATTTTTGATAGCTTAATCGCCTTTTATTCCAAGTGTTTGGAAATTTGGGAATGTTTTATTGTGGATGGGTACTTGCCAAGTGGTGTTTGTCACTTGTGGATCTAAAATGTTTTGTTTTAACAGATTATTTTACTAACGAAGGATTTCAGAGAAACAATATTTTGTTTTAATTTTCAATTTTAGGTGTAAATGATCAAATTGTACAATTTGACAATCTTTTGAATCAAAAGGAAGATAAGCTGAGACAGAGATATCGTGATACATATGATGCTGTTTTATGGCTGAGAAATAACAGAGACAAATTTAAGCAAGGAGTCTATGAGCCCATAATGCTCATGGTAAGAGATTTTATTTATGTAGAATCTTATTTTTTTATTGTAATCATTATAGATTTTTGTTGTTTTAAGAATTCTTAGTCTTATTTATACCCCTGGCTTTTCATTATCAGACTCGCAGCAACTGTTATGTTGCTAAATCCATGCATGGGCTTTTTAAAGGGTTCTTGATGAATATACCTGTGAACTTCTTTAGAAAGAAATATGAAAATGGCACTATATTGACTAAGAACCGTGTAAAAAGTTAGTGTGGTTAGCTGGTTCCTTCTACAATTGCTGTTCTTAGGTCATAGCAGGCAATAGATTAAATGCTGCCAAAGGGGAAGAAAACTGCTGTAAATACATGTTGATATAAGGTACCTGACAGAGGTAGACAAGAAAATCACTTGCTACAGAACCAGAGCATTATAAGGATTCTGAGAGTGAAATCAACAGTTTATTGACCTCATAAACATTTCATAGCATTTTTAAAAAAAATCTTTATTATTGAAAGTATTACAAATCTTCCCTTCTCTTCCCCTCTTCTCTCCCCTTCCATTGACCCCTTCAGCCAGCCCCCGGCCCTATGTCTTTGGGTTATGCATACAAGGTCTTTGGTTGATTACTTTCCATCTACTCTCCTTCCCCAACCTTCCCTCCAAGATTCCATACTCTGTTCCATGCTTTCATTTCTCTGGATCCACTCCTTTTGATAGCTCTTATTAATGATTGGATAAGCTATATTTAGCAAATCATCTAATGAAGTGTGACCATGGATTTAACAGAAAGTTGTATACGTGAAATACTTTAAAAGTTTGGTCACAAAAAGTAAAAAACACATTCTTTGGTAATGATAGCTGTACATAGATAATATTAACTTAAGGGTTGTTTTTGTTAGATAATTTCTTGTACTTTAGAAAAGAATGTAGTATAGATTCTTGCAGGATTCATGAAAAATTTTATTTTCCAAAACTCATGATTACATTATACTTCATTAAAAATCATTTCATATAGTTTTAAAAATTATATCTTTTAGTATTACATTAGCAAAATTAATATGCATAATACTGTATTCTATTCTTGCTAAAATGTATATCATTTAGACTATTTTTGGCAGATCAAGAAGAGAATATCTATTTTGGACCCAGGCACCATTGTTTTGATTGATTTGGTAAGGTCTGGGTGAAAATATGAGAAAAAAATGTTCTGCCTAGCCCATGTGCCTCAGTGGTTGAGCTTTGACCTATACACCAAGACGTCACTGGTTTGATTCCTAGTCAGGGCACATGCCCAGGTTGTGGGCTTGATCTCCAGGAGAGGGCATGCAGGAGGCAGTCGACCCATGTTGATGTTTCTCTTATCAATGTGTCTATCTCTTTCCCTCTCCCTTCCTTTCTCTCTAAAACCAATAGAAAAATATTTTTTTAAAAAGGAGAAATACTTGATCTTTAATATAAGTTAGTCAAGTGTGATTGTCAACATATTTTTATTAAAATAATACTTTTGAACTTGATTTGATATTTTATCCTCTTTTCACTATTGGTTTTTTTAATAGTGACCTATCACTAACTTGGAATTCTAGCTGGCATATATTGTAATTTTACAAATCTTTGAGATACAATGATAGACTCTGCTTTTTACCCTTCCTGGAATAACCCTTCACCTTTTCTACTATCTCATTCCAAATGTATTCCCATACACACTTAACCCTTAATTTGGTAAAGTTTAGATTTAGTTTGAAATGCAGCCATCTTTGTTACGCCCAGACTTCGTGATCCCCAAGGACCACCAGTGAGCCGAGTCCGATGCAATAAACAAAAGAGCCTGTTCCATGCTAGCATGGGGTCCTCCCACTCACGCTGGCAGCATGGCGGAAGAGCGCGAATTTAGCCCAGTCCAGGGGTTTTACTCCGGTCGGTGGTGATGTCACTGCCTCGGCTAACCCTGATTGGTTGGGTGAGGGCTTGGGATAACTCCGCCCTGCAGGGTGGAGTCGGGAGCTCATCCTCGCCCTGCCCTGCCCTGCCCTGCCCTGCCCTCTCAATACGAGCCTTGGGTTTCTCCTAAAGACACTAATAGTATAATACAATTCATAGCTAGTTTTTTTCATTCATTTCATAATTTTATTCAGGTATTTGTGTTTTTGTACCAGTTAGTTATTGCCATGTATAATATTAATTCCTCTTAAAGATTAAGAAGAAAATCGTTTGGGGACAGATGAGAAATGTTTTTACTTACAGGTCACAATCTAAGACTGTTACAGTATTTTCAATGAGTTGACCAGAAAGGAACTTTATTATTACATAATACCAAAACTACTATGCATCAGGTACTATTCAAGTCTTAGCTCTCATTTTATGATGTATGGGATGTTTCTGGGTAATAATTTAGATTAAGTAAATGTTTTGTAATGTTGACCCTTCAATACCAAGTTGTTTTGTTTTTTTGTTTTTTGGTCTCCCTTTTTCTCAGCTATCAAATTTAATTTGATTAAATATGATTTCTAGTACTCTGTTTGAATTTCAAGAAAATCAACTTATTTTTTCTGTTTTCTTTAGATCAATATGAAAGATAATAAAAATGCCAAATATATTGAAAACCATATTCCATCAAATGACTTGAGAGCCTTTGTATTTGAGAGTCAAGAAGATATGGAGATTTTCCTCAAAGAGGCAAGTATAAACTATCATATTTTGACTCACTTGGCACTTCGTTAATTTTAAAATTCAAACTAGAGCAAAAAGTGATAGTGACTAATTTTACCAGCTGTAACTCTCCTGTTAGCTACTCTTAATAACTTCAGTCCTATCTATGTTATTATTGGGAAATGAATTTGTTTTATAAGAGGAAAAACAGCCTATACTCCCCTCTGTAACATACAATTTTAAAATTAACATTTGAAATTAATATGAATAGTAATTCTGTGACATTGTCTAAAAATATAGAAACATAATAATAATGGACTTTTGGTCTTAAACATCCTTCTGGGAACTATATTAGAATGAACTTATTTATTTCCCATCCAAAGATAAACTATGTTATTGTTTGATATAAATTAGTCTTCAAAAAAGGAGAATCCTGTAACTGGCTAGAAAACACCACTAACCAAGAATCTAAGCCACTGAAAGGTAGCTTAGATTAGGAGTTAAGAACATAGACTGCATAGTTAGGCTGCCAGGATTTGAATTCTGACTTTGATACTAACTTAGGCAAGTTGCCTAAATGTTGTGAGCCTCAGTTTCCTCAACTCTAAAATGAAGATAATACTTCATAATATTTTTGTGAGGATTAAATGAAAAAGTATTAGCTAGTGCTTGTTAGCTATTGTATTTATTATGTGTATATTGTTCTCTAGCTATATAATATATAGTATATTGTTAGCTATATATGCTATTATTAGCTATTTATGCTATATATCCTGTCAGTAAGATTTTTTTTTTTTCCTTTTGCATATGCCATCTACTTCTTTTAAAGCCTCAGAAAGATTTTATTTAAACCTTTGTAAGTCTAAGTGAGAACAAGACCCTAAATCAGCTCAAGTGGGCCTTTATTTGTCTGGTACACAGGTGATTAGATTAGAAAATTTTCTTGCTTTCGCTTTTACCATATTGTCCTCCATCTCATTTGGGAGTTGGTAGGGACTATGAATATATGGTGACTGCATAAAAAGATTGAATCTATGGAATTATAAAATGGACTTCAAAAAATTAAACATTTGGGTATTTTAGGACTAATTTAAGCCTAACCAGTGAGTTAGTGATCCAATATCAGAACTCATTCAAGAAGTAAGTTGCTTGGGTTACAAGTCTGTGATATAACACATATTGTGAAGGGTGTTCAATCAGGTGTTAAAATGATTTCTATTTTGAAAGTCACCAGCTTAGCCTATATTGAGTACCCTGCTTTGCCTAAAAAACACATGCTTCCTCTGTGCTAAGTATTTGAACTGTGTATTGATATGATTTAAGTTTCTAAAAATTAGACCTTTATTATTTTTTCTTGTGCTATTAGCAATGAACTTTTCAAAGGGTCTCATCAGTAAGACCAGAGCTTCCTCTTACATGTATGACTTTTTATGTATTTTTTAAAGTATATATTTTTTTATTTTAGAGAGGAAGGGAGAGGGAAAGAGAAAATCAATGATGAGAAAGAACCATTGATTAGCTGCCTTCTACATGACCTCTACTGGAGGTCAAGCCCACAACCTAAGCATGTGTTCTTGACCGGAATTGAACCTGGGACCTTTCAGTCCACAGGCTTTATTCACTGAGCCAAACCAGTTAAGGCTTTTATGTATTTTTAATTATGAAATTTGTTGTATGAACTAGAGTACATTTCCCATCTTTTTAGTAACTTACAAACCATCTTCACAATTTTTGCCATTTCATATACTACTGTGCTATTTTTTTTTTTTTTAATATTTCTCTCTTTAATTTCAAGAAAGAAAGGGAGAGAGAGAAACATCCGTGTGAGATCAAGACATCTTGCACACTCCATGCATGGGATGATGCCCACTGGCCAGGGCAAACTATACTATTTAATTTTTTTATTTAAATCATTTCACTTTTAAAAAATATACATATCATTGATTTTTAGAGAGATAGGACGGGAGAGAGAGAGAAAAACATTGATGTGAGAACAAGACATTGATCAGCTGTCTCCTCCATGCCCTCTACTGGGATTGAACCTGCAACCTGGACATGTGCTTTGACGGAATCAAACCGACAACCTTTTCAGTGCTTGCAACAACATCCAACCAACTAACTCATACTAGCTAGGGCTAAATCACTTCACTTTTTTATTACTCAAAATATTCTGAAAGGGAGTTTAATATTACTGCAAAATTAGAAAACAGCTTGTACAATAATAAAGATAAAAACAATGTTACATATGTACTATTCCTTATTAGAAGCAGAGAACATAATTCTTTTTTTAAGAGGGAGGAGGAGATAAGGAATTATACAGCAGTTTTTTTCCTGTGGTTAGAAATATTGAAAGAGAATTGAAAGGGAAATTATTTTCTCATTGTAGAATTCTTTTATTTAGAGTAACCACTAAAGCAATATATTTTACAAACATAAGTGAGAATCAGTATTGTTTAATCTATACCTCCTGTTTCTTTTTCTTAAACTTTTATTTTGATATAACTTCAAACTTACAGAAAATAGGCAAGAGTATACATGGAAATTCTGTATATCTTTTACCCAGATTCACTAATTATTTGCATTTTCCCTATTTGCTTTATTTCTCCATTGCTATGTAGTCAGTTTTGCTATAACCCAATACATTCCTAAAAATCATTATGCTAGGCAAAATTATACAATAGAAATCCATCGGGCCTTTGGGGAGAAAAATGACAGCATAGTTACACATTTAAGATTGTCAAGAAATATACAAATACAATAAATATGGTACTTTGTTTTTAGAAAGACCTGAAGTTAGCTTGTGGAAGGAGGCATTGGAAGGGTTCAGTTTGTGAATTGTGTAGTGGGTTAAACAATTGAAAACGCTTATCTAAAATTGGATAGAAAGCTGCAATACCAGATGTAGTTGGATGGGGCTCATAATACATTGGTGGCCTGAGGTAGCTGGTAGATGTTTGAGAGGAGTATGTGTATTTCTCAGCAGCTAGGTTGAGTTGGGTGCAGTTTTCTGCATTCACCTAGAGCAGTGGTTGTCAAACTGCGGCCGCTCTGTTGACTGAGTTTGCCACTGGGATAGGGGCTTAATCACAAGGAACAACAACAGCCTGTAATTATTGAGGTTGAGAGTCTAGAGAAAAGCCTCATTTTTTTTGTAGATTGAATTGCATGTAAGCAAATGTGAAATCCATGTATTTCTTAAATTGTCTCTTAATATATCAATTGCTCGGAACAAATTTGTCTTCAAAACAAGTATTATACAAAACTATTTTTCTCCTTGTAATTATGTATGTGGAAATACTTTGAGACTATGTTGTATCCTATTCTTCTCTTCATGAAACTAAGTTTAAGCATCATTGATTCTGCCCTAGCTGGTTTAGCTCAGTAGATAGAATGTCAGCCTGCAGAATGAAGGGTCTGGTTTCTATCAAGGGTACATGCCCTAGATGCAGGCTCCATCCCCAGTAGGGGGCATGCAGGAGGCAGCCATTCAGTGATTCTTTCTCATTGACTTTCCTACCTCTCTCCTCCTCTTTGAAATCAATAAAAAAAATATTTAATTAAAAAAAAAAGATTATGCTGGTATCATAAAATGACTTGGGAAATCGCCCTCCTATTTTCTGAGAGTTCTGGTATTAATGCTTTTTTAACTGTCTCATAGAATTTATCAGTAAAAATTTATAAAAGGAATGGACTCTGTAAAAACATAATTACAATATCACTAAAAAAATTTTCTTATAAGTACCATTAAATACTCTGTCAATGTTCAAATTTCTGATCATCTCATGAATGCCAGTAGGAAAACGTTAAACTTTAAAAATTATTTTGATTGAGCATAGATGGTTATTAAAATATTTTCCTTTTTTATATTCAGGTTCGTGACAATAAGAAATTAAGAGTGAATGCTGTTATTGCTCCCAGGAATTCATATGCAGACAGAGCACCTTCAAGATCTCTAAATGAACTAAAGTAAGTCTTGAAAATATTGATAGAACTAACCTGTACCTTTTAAATATTTTAGTAATCATTTATCTCTTTAATATATTTTAATTATCTTTTTGTCACATGTTTGTTATAGGCTATATTATTTTACTTTAGGATCTCTACTTAAGTCTAAAATAAAGAAAAATCCAGGAACAGTGTATGGTATAGTTAATATATAATGATGATGTTTTAAATCATTGGAATAATATTGGATTATTTAATTAATATATAATGATGATGTTTTAAATCATTTGAATAATATTGGATTATTTAATTAAAAATACCAAAATGTTTGGTTAATTATTGGGAAAATAGTGATAAAACATCACTTAGTCCTTTGGAAATTATTTTTGACTAAGTGGAAAAATAGCAATTATAAAACAGCAATAAGTAAATATTTTAATTCTTAATGATGTAAGTAGACACTCTAAATATAAAATCACTGGAAGAAATGTCAAAAAACAGATTAATAGTTTATAATCATAAATATACAAAAATTAAACCTTGACAAATAAATCTCAATATTAACCACTTAAGTGATTTTCAAATATACAAAGAAAAGACTCTTGTTTTATTTATTGGCTACTTGTCAATCATCAGATTTTTTTAAATGATATTTTAAGAAGAAAAATCTAATACGTGTTTTTCCTTTTAGACAATATGGATTTTTCTCTTACTTACGAGAGTTATTTGATGCACCTGCTCCTGTCATGAGTTACCTTTGCAGCCAATATCATATTCATGAAGTTCCTGTAGGAACTGAAAGAACCAGAGAAAGAATTGAACGGGTAAGAAAGTACTAAATCAGTAGTTTTATTAAATTTTCTTAGCTTACACTCAAGGAAAAAATGCAAGAAATTTAAAGAAACTTTATCATTCTGTTATTTTTAACCACACAGAAATTTCTTTGTATTTTTAACATAACATAAAACAGTGACTATTCCCTAATACTTTATGACAGGAGGGTCATTAAGTTAAAGCCTGAAAGAAATAGCTGGCATTCTTACCTGATTCTATTCTGCTTTGTTTGATGACACATTACATTAATGATTTAATAATTTAGATTCTTGTATTCTGGATTATCTTTCAGACAAATTATACTTCAGGATGGTAGGCTTAGTAAAACCTTCCTGTCTTAAAGCTTCCACTAAAGATTACCTCATATATCAATGACCTGACCATCCTTACTTAATAGTCTCATTTTCCTGGCTTATTGTAGTAGTTAGGCTTTTTTTTTTTTTTTTTTTTAAATTCATTGGATTCTTTTTTTCTTTTTTTTAAATTTATTTTTCCATTACAGTTGACATTCAGTATTATATTCGTTACTGTGTACAACATAGTGGTTGGATTTTTATAAAACTTACAACAAAGTGATCCCCCTGATAAGCCATCCTTTTTTTTTCTTTCTATAATTCTTTATTGTTTAAAGTATTACATATGCGCTCCCCCACCCCTCCAAGCCTCAAACACCCTATTGTCTGTGGTCATGGGTTATGCATATATTCATACAAGGTTTTTGGTTGATTATCTCCCATCCTCCCCACCTTCCAGCTTTTTTTATATATATACTAATTGCAATTTTATTTATTTGGGTAACAATTGGTTGATAAGATCATTCAGGTTTCTCAAGGAACTCTTAGTTTCTATATTCTGCTAACACGACTTAGAATTAACTTGTAAGAAGACAATTCTAAGAATCCAAACCACATTTGTTGTTTGTATCACAGGCAAAAACAGGGAAGAAATCTCATCTAGAAACAAGTTTTTCCATAACATCAAATTGCTCTATTAATACCACTTGTAAGCATCTAGGACCCAATTACAGACCTACTGTTACTTATAATATTGACTTTATTAGAAAGTGTGTTTAAAATTTTTTAACAACTGGTTTACAATTATTCTAGTATAGCTCTGTGGTCTTAATTCTATGATGTTTAGAAAAAAGAATAAGACCATATTCATAGACCAAACCAATTTCTACCATAACTTCAGGTATAAGTAGGGCTGTCTGAAGGTGAGGGTAGCTTTACTATTGCAAAAAGACTATAGAAAATTTGGTAAGGGCTATTAGTTTTACTTCGGAAATCCATTTACTTTTGAACAGTGCTTCATGTTGAATTAGTTTCATGTACTTTAAGGCACCCAGAGAGCTGTTTTATTAGAGAAACAGCATTGGAATTCACATAATTTACATTTAAAAGTAAAATTAATTCATAAGTCATATTTCCCTTCATCTCTTTTCAAATATTTTTTCTTAACCTCTATTTTTATATAAGTGATGGTATTTTTAAAACACAATGAGTGTTTCTTACACTGTATTGTTTCAGTGTCCAACTTGGTGCTATATTGTAGATAAATACCTATAAATTATGATGAGATGCTTCTCAGACATGTGCATATACTGTAAAGTCCCTGACATTATTTTGGCTGTCCTTTAGAAGATAGAAACTTTTGTTGAGGAAAAGCTTATCTTTATATCTGCAATCATATCTAGATAATGACAACATCAGCTATATTTCTTCCTTAGACTAACAATACATTTTTAGTGTAAGTTTTACATTATTATTGAATTCTAACATTTTAGTCTCTCTAACAATGAGTATAACCTATTTATGGAATTGTTTTCAGTTTCTAAGACTTCCCCTTTGGTTAAATTTTCTGCTGATGCTCTTATTGTGCTTTTTGGTGGGAATGCCTTTTTCTCTCAGTTCAAACCCATTTAAAATTTATTTTCCTGAAACTACCTGTTCTGGGCTTTCCTTTCATTCCAAATTATTCAGCATTTAGGGATGCCAATTTATAAAATTTAGGGTGCTTAAATATGTCTTCATTTAGACTATAAACTTCTGTAGAGAAGCCATAATAGTATTGGTAATAAACCTTTAGAGATTAGAAAGAAACTATATAACAGCAATTTATTTTATTTTTTTTTAAATACATTTAATTGATTTTTTTACAGAGAGGAATAGAGAGTTAGAAACATGGATCAGCTGCCTCTTGCACACCCCCTACTGGGGATGTGCCCACAACCAAGGTACATGCCCTTGACCGGAATCCAACCTGGGACCTTTCAGTCCACAGGACAACACTCTATCCACTGAGCCAAACTGGTTTTGGCAGCAATTTATTCCTTATTCTACTCCTTGAATAAGTTCTTGAGAAAAAAAGATACCCCTAAAATGTAAAAATAAAGTCTCAATGTGAAATCCTTAAAAAGTTTTTCCCTTAAGTATTCTCTCAAATATATAGGAATTGAATATAAGATTATGTATTTTTGAACAGTATAACTGAGGGGAAGGAAGAGTGACTTACCTGAAATAACAGTTCAATGTATGGACACCTGGGTCCTGATATCTTTTCGTAGATACAATAAAGCTCCAAAAGTACACTTAGTTGAGAGAGATTGTATAGCAAAGTAGAATTTAGCTAGCTTTGCTAATTTTTTTGTTTTCTCCTAATTTTCTTAATGTCATCTAAAATAACATAAAATGTATCAGCTACCTTTTTAGAGATATTGTTGGATAAATTTTTTAAAAACTGTATCTACTATATTTTGATCTTCTAAAATTCATTTGATATATATTTTTAAAATTCATTTGATATATATTTTTAATTCTTTGGTCCTTTTAAATATATCAATTATTAGATGTGCACTGATACTTATTTTACATTATAGGTAATACAAGAAACCCGATTAAAACAAATGTATACAGCAGAAGAAAAGTATGTGGTGAAAACTTCTTTTTATTCAAATAAAGTTATTTCTAGTAACACATCCCTAAAAGTAGCCCAGTTTCTCACAGTCACTGTGGATCTAGAGCAAAGAAGACACCTAGAAGAACATCTAAAGGTTTGTGTGTGTTTTTAATTTATTAGAAAAAAATATTAACTGGATTTATAATACTTTAACGAGGGCTCTTTAAAATATATTACAATTTTTAATATCCCATAGGAAATTAATAGAAAATTGCAAGCAGTGGAATCAGGGTTGATTGCTTTGCGTGAGAAGAGCAAACATCTAGAGCACAAAGATAATGAACTCAGACAACGAAAGAAGGAGCTTCTTGAAAGAAAAAACAAGAAAAGACAACTGGAACAAAAAATTAGTTCCAAACTAGGAAGGTATTTTGTATCCAGTTTCATGGGGTGTGGCCGGAGGCCCAAAGCAGTATGAGATATTATTTACCCTGGAATGACACCATAATTCTCTCAAGCACATTTTATAATAATTCTTTCTAAAACTTTAATCCTACTACCAGGGGAAGTGAATATTGGCTTTTAGTTTCAACGTTTTTCCCATATCTTACTCATAGTTCACATTTTTTTTTGTTTGTTTTATGCTTCTTGCCTATAAAGATATAGGTATAGGTATTAATGACATAATCAGCCTTTAATAATAAATGATAGCTCACTGGCTTGAGTAAGATGTAAGTTTAACTTGACCTAATATAATATGTGTCTAAACACATTCAGAAATTGAATATTTGAGATGCATTAAGAAAAAAATTTTTTAAGCAAACAAGTATCATTAACTTTTATTTTAAAAGTTAATAATGTACCTTGGTTGCTTAAGGTAAGATCTTTTTAGTCTAACTGCTTAGAAGTTTTTTTTTTTTTTTTTTTTTTTTTTACTTTAAGCTTTTTTCAACTTTAACCCTTCGCTTCATTCAAGCACCTGCAAACACTTAACCTTTACTCTGCAGCTGCTATATTGAACTGCTGTATTGTCTAAAACTTCTCATAAAGTTTCTCCTCATAAAGTAATGTTGACTTTTATAGTGAAATGACCTTTCATACGTACAGTTATGCACTTAGGAATACTTCAGTGGTGGCCTGACTACTCGCTTCAATGCCTCCACAATACTGTAGTTAAATTTCTCTTTTTATGTCCTTACCCCCATTTAAGAGTTATCTGTTGTGATTTTCTGCCATTACATGAAATTTACTTAAATACTACTTTCCCTTTGATTGGCTTTCAAGTTTTTCTAAATCTTGTTTCACTCTACCCATTCCAACTCATCACCCTCCCCCATGTATCATTTAGGATACTTTATAACTCCACTGCACTAGTTTAGTCTTGTTTATTATTGCTTCCATCTTTTGTTCTTGCTTTATTTCCTAATGGCAACAGAGCGTAGTGGAAAGAATTTAAACTCGGGTGCATATCGTGCCACTTCATATCTGTGATCTTAGCTAACTTAACTTCTGAGCCTTATTTTCTTCATCTTAAAGAGCAAAATATTAACTTTCAGTATTGTTGTATTAGGTTTTTATTATGGGGCTTTTAAAAATATATATTTTTTAAGTTAATTTCAGAGAGTAAGGGAAGGGGAGAGAGAAACATCAGTGATAAGAGAGAATCATTGATTGGCTGCCTCAGCATGTCTCTTACAGGATTGAGCCCACAACCCGGGTTTGTGCCCTGACTTGGAATTGAACTGTGGCCTCCTGGTTCATAGGTCAACACACAACCACTAAGCCATGGGTGTGTTGTTTTTTTTAACCTATTAAGCAAGTCCCCCATCAACACCATCATCCAGTTAAGCTCCTTAAGAGGAGGAAGGAGAGTGTGTTTATACTCTTGTTTTTGTTTAAAAACACAAATATATATCAATTGGTTATGAGCCAGGCACTATACTAAGTGTGTTACATAGTTTACATCTTCACCACAGACCTGAAGGAGGGGTTCTCTTATGATTTTTAATTTTTAGGTGAAGAAACTGAAGTCCAGAAGATTAACTTGTCAAGTTATGCAGCGAGGAGCAAATTCAGATCCATATTTGTAACTCCAGACCCTATACCGTGTTAGCACTAGCATTAATTGCCTAGATAGATTACACTGGGCACATAATACGGGGTGTGGTAAAAGTAAGTTTATAGTTGAGTACACAAAATATTTATTACTGAATTATTTATTATTGCATTATTTTCCATACAAACAACTGTAAACCTGCTTTTGCCTTACCCTATACATATCTCAACAAATACTTTTTGATCCTGCATAGTTGCATAAAATGATTGTTTAATCTAGAAGCTAGTTTAGACATCTGGGTAGCATTGCTAAAGAGCTCATAAAACAGCAGGGAACCAAGGATTTGGGCTCCATCCTTGTGTAGAACTGATTTCTACATCATTATATGTTTCATCATTACAGTTTAAAGCTGATGGAGCAGGATACTTGCAATCTTGAAGAGGAAGAGCGAAAAGCAAATACCAAAATCAAAGAAATAAATGTTCAAAAAGCAAAACTTGTTACCGAGTTAACAAACCTAATAAAGGTAAGGCAGTTTTTTTTTTTTAATTAGGTAGATAAGACAAGTTAGTTAAATCTTATAGATTTTTAACTTTGTTATTTGACATTTTTATTATCTATAATAATATAAGTATGATATGCTAATTAGACCAAATGAAGCCAGGGCTTCAAAGGAAGTCCGGATCCTTGGCAAAGGAAGGCCTACTCTTGCATGAATTTCGTGCATTGGGCCTCTACCGTGTTTCCCCGAAAATAAGACATCCTCCAAAGATAAGGCCCCCCTAGGCTAAACATGAGAGATTTGGTCCACTGATTCTGAAAGAAATGGAGTCACAAGAAATTCACCAGGAAATTCAGGAATTGAGTTGTTATGCTGATGTTCCAGAAGATGATGACATGATTGTCATTGAATAAGTGAGTAAATTCTTGATACTGTAGGATTCACAGTTTGTTTGGTTTGTGTTGACGACTACCATACCATATACAGGCAATAAATTTCTTTATTTTCATTTAACAATAAATGTGTACCGTATTCTTCATGGAAAAATAAGACATCCCCTGAAAATAAGACCTAGCTCATCTTTGGGAGCAAAAATTAAGACACTGTCTTATTTTCGGGAAAATAGGGTAGTAAGATAATAAATTGGTTAAAAGCACTCACTAGGCTAAATTATAAATACACAGAAAAGTTTTAAAAGTTCTCTTTTAAGAAATAGTTATAAAAATAAGTGAGAAAGTCACAGATGAAAATTTTTATGGTTTATAATGTTATAATTAAGAAAATACATTAAAAAAACAAATTAAACTTTTATGGGTTTTTGTTCCTAGATTTGCACTTCTTTGCATATACAAAAAGTAGATTTAGTTCTTCAAAATACTACAGTGATCTCCGAGAAGAACAAATTAGAATCAGATTATATGGCTGCATCATCACAACTACGTGTCAAAGAGGTAAAATTTTTGCTTACATTTTTTTATTTTTTATTTTGGGGTTCTAGCCTCGTGTCAAAGAGGTAAAATTTTTGCTTTTATTTTTTATTTTGGGGTTCTAGCCTAAGATCAGTTTGAAACAATATATGTCAGTATATCCAGTATGTAGTTTGTGTTCTGTTTAATTTACAAATTTAATGCATTCTACTGATATGGAAGCAATATTTGAAATACTTTATACTATGCATTTGTTAATTTGATGGTGGTGATTTTCATAAAAGAGAAATCAGAATATCTGATTTGGTTCCTTGAAAAGTAAAGCCCTCTGTCTGCTTTCTTATTAACCCATAAATTATAGTCATGACTATAGTAGCTTTAATTACCATTTGCACATTTCACAGTATAATGCAGATGAGTTCTAATTAACAGTAAGTAATGTTGGATAGTCGTGGCAGTTTAATCTTCTGTGAAATGATAAAAATTGAAATAGTATATCACATTTCCTCCCCTGCACACTAAGTTAATATACAACACAAAGAAAGACTGGCAACAAAATGGTAGTGACCTGGCATAGTTTTTGAGTCTCTACTTGCTAAGTGCCAGTAGTACTCTTTCCCTCAAACCCCAGCTATGACGATTAAAAATTGTCTATGGGCATTGCCAGATGTACCCTGGGGAGGAAGAATGTCCCCATTTCAGAACAACTGCTGTGAAACTCTGTTTCCAGAAAGTACAGTGAATTTAGCAAGGTTGCTAAATTGAAGTTCAGTATATAAAAATCAGTTGTGTCTCCATATATTAGCAATGAATAGTTGGAAATTATAATATAAAAAGTACTGTATATAATCACACCAAAAATATGAAATACTTAGGGACATATTTACAAGACCTGTACAGTGAACACTAAAACTTTGCTGACAGAAGTTAAAATAGTAGTTAATAGAGCAGTTGATTGTATTCATAGATCAGACATTTGGGATTTGTTCAAATGTTGATTCTCCCCTAAATCTATAGATTGGTTAATATTCCCAGCAGGGTTTTTAGTTTTTAGAAAATTGCAAACTCATTCTAAAATATAATGGACTTAGAAAAACTGAAAAAGCATTTGAATGGACAACACCTAATTTTAAGACATTATAAAGCAACAGTAATGAATACATTATTGTATTGCTATAACAATAGACATGGGTCAGTGGAACAGAATAGATAATCCAGAGGTAAAGTTATATATATGGTCAGTTGTTTTGCAAAGGTACCAAAACAATTCAATGTAGAAAGAATAATCTTATAGTGATGGAACAATAGTGGTAGGACAATGGAATAGTTATCTACAAAAATGAGCCACAACCCTTACCTCATACCACACAAATGGGCATAGATTTAAATGTAAGAACTAAACCTATAAAACTTCTTGAAGAAACATCTTATAATGACCTTAGATTTGGCAAATAGGACACAAAAGGAATCAGAGATTGTACTTTATCAAAATTTAAAACTTTATATTTAATAGATGCTGTTAAGAAAAGGCTGCTACTAATTGGGAGAATATATTTGCAAAACATACTATCTGTGGGCTAAATCTAAGAATAGTTTTGACATTTTTAAAGGGTTAAAACAGAAGAATGTGTGACAGACTATACGTGGACCTCAAAATCTAAAATATTTCCTTACTGGCTCTGTATAGAAAAAGTTTGCTTACCTCTGATGAATACTATAAAAAGAATTCTGCCCTGGCTGGTGTTTTTCAGTGGTTAGAGTGTCAGCCTGGTCAAGGGCAAATACCTAGGTTGCAGATTGGATGTTTGCAGGAAGCAACCAGTTGATGTTTCTCTCTCACATTGATGTTTTTCTTTTATAATACATATGTCCCCTATTTTCCCCCATTTTTCAGTGTTTCTCTCTCTCTCTCTCTTCGCCTCCCTCCCACTCTAAAAATCACCAGAAAAATGCCGGGACCGGTTTGGCTCAATGGATAGAGCATCGGCTTGGAGACTGAAAGGTCCCGGGTTCGATTCCGGTCAAGGGCATGTACCTTGGTTGCGGGCATATCCCCAGTAGGGGGTGTGCAAGAGGCAGCTGATCGATGACTCTCTCTCATCGGTGTTTCTAACTCTCTCTCTCTCTCTCCCTTCCTCACTGTACAAAATCAATAAAATATATATTTAAAAAATAATAATAATTTAAAAAAAAAATCACCAGAAAAAAATATCCTCAGGTGATGATTAACAAAAAAAACACACACTAAACCTCTTACATTTTATCAATACAAAGAAAACAAAACCCAATCCAAAATATAAGTTTTAAGCATGCTCTTCACTAAAGAAAGTATACAGATAGCCAATAAGCACTTGAAAAGATTCCCAATCTTATTAGTCACTGGGAAGCGTGAGTTAAAGAAATAATAATGAGCTAACAAAAGAGACCCTCTAAAGCAGCAGTCTCCAACCTTTTGGACCTCATGGGCCACTGGTTGGCAGCCACTGCTCTAAAGTGACTAAAATTTTAAGACTGAGTGTAAACTAGGTGATCCATTTACATGAAATTCTATGAACTACAAAATGCCTATTGACAAATAAATTCATGGTTGCCTGTAGTGGGTACAGTGCGATGGATTGCAGAGGGATACAGAACTGCTGCAGGTGATAGAAGATACATTCATTGTCTTGGTGGTGATAGTTTCACTGATTTTGTATATATTTGTCAAAAGTCAGCAGTTGTACATTTTAAAAATGGACAGTTTATTCATCAATTACACTTCAAAATTTAAGAAAACTGACATGATGACTTATCATTTTGTTTAGGTCTTTTATAACTAAGTTTGAAACTTTAATTATATACACTAGTAAAAATAGGAAGAGTAACATAACATACAAGTGTCCACTATTCCTGTTAAACAGATGCTATACTTCACCATGGTTGCGGGCATATACTTAAACAGATGCTATACTTCACCATATTTGTTGCAGATTTTTAAAACTTTTCATGTACTCAAATTTCCCTTGTATTCTTCCCCATCTACTTTCTCAGATTCTGCATCTTTCGGGCAGTATGTGATTCACTTTATACTTAGCTTTTCACAAACATACCTGTTGTGTAAAAGTAAACTTTTAATATCTTTTTGTGGAAAGAGTCACTAGAAGATAGATTTTCGGAAAGAAAAACAGGACTGTACAAATGAATGGAAAGAGTAAATGAAAGTGGAATAAGAGCTTCATTATTCTTAAGCCAGCTTCTTCAAAATCTATAAAAGCTTAGAAGAAACCAGAGGAGAAAACAATGTTGCTAGCAAATAAGCATAGGCAAACAAACACATCTAGCCAAAAGGAGGAGCTCAAGGTCAGGTTTGATCAGCAAAGCCAGAGACTTGGAAGATGGAAAGTTCCTTCCCTCTCTCCTCCCTGCCAAAAAAAAGCAGGGGCCATAGCAGTAGTCATCCTGAATACTTATATAGAAGGGATACAGCAAATAAAACAAAGCTATAGTACCCAACTGGGAGGGGAAAAGGAGAAGGTCGGCTGGATATGAAAGTAGCTACCAAAGGAGGGCCTCATCAGTGTTCGTTTTGTGAGAGGGGGAGGAAGTCACTGCCCGTTGTGCATTTTGTTGGTAAATATTTGTAGAGCCCATGCTTTATTGATTGAGCCTGTGAACCTGGTTGTTCAATATAAAGAGCTTTCATGAAGAAATTGAACCATTATGTAGATACTATATGGAGCTTTAAGTCAAATCTCTCAAGACAATGTTTATTTGATCCCAGTGCCCAGAGTTTTGTTTTTCAATGAAATTTTAATTAAGAACTTAGTTTTGGGTTTATATTATGTTTATAGAAGTATGAAATCATGATGGCTTTATAGTAAACATTCTCCCAAACTTAACCTCCTCTTGACATAGTGAGAAATATTTTTCTAACAGCCATTGTTCACATAGATACATTAAGATTAGATGCAAAATAATGGAGCATTCTCTTATCCATTTTATTTGTAGCAGAAATATTCATATTTCCAATAGAGCTAACTATTCTAGAGAATAGGAAAGTTTCTTGGGAGGTTTTGTTTTTGTTTTTTAAATATATTTTATTTTTTACAGAGAGGAAGGGAGTGAGATAGAGAGCTAGAAATGTCGATGAGAGGGAAACATCGACCAGCTGCTTCTTGCACACACACCTCCCACCAGGGATGTGCCTGCAACCAATGTACATGCCCTTGACCGGAATCGAACCCGGGACCTTTCAGTCCGCAGACACACTCTACTGCTGAGCCAAACCGGTTTCGGCGAAGGTTTTGTTTTTAACCCTCAAGTCACTAAGTAATTTTTTACAAAAATGGCCACATTATACTATCCAGAGAACTAACTTCTGATTAGCTGCTTCTCCCTCTAGATTTTGTTACCTAGAAATAATACCCATTTAGGTGTTCCCATACCAATCTTACTTGGTACGACCCCTGACTTTTCTCAGCAATATTTTGCACCATTCTGCTTCTTTTTCATGTGTTGATCTGGAAATCATTTAATGCTATTTATAACTGTTTTTGCCAGCCCTGTTGTGAGGTTCCTCTATTTTTATACAGTGTCCACTTGACAGATTTGTTGCTGACTGACCATAATCACTAACACAGGAATAGCCAGGAATGATAGTGAAAGAATACATACTAGAGTAGGTAGTATGGTAGTTCTTTCTCTTACTTGTTTTTCTTCTTTTCATGTTTGCTGTCATTTCCCATACATATTCTTAACCTTCTTACTCTCCTACATTTGAAACGAGAAATCATTTTTTTTTCTCCTACTTGTCCCTCTGAATACCTGGCAGATTGCACTAAGGAACCATTATTACTACTTCTGTCTTTGTCCTGTCCTTTATTTACTCTGATTCTGGAAACAAGTTCACAAAAGAAAATTGACACAAAATTTCAGAAAGGGTTATTATCCTTGATGGAACTTGGGGATAGCCAACCACCACCCTCAAGTTTAATACTTTGCCAAATTGTTGGAAAGCAAATAGGGCAACAGGATTACAGACCTACAAAACATCCCCAGAGAAAGGCAAATGGTTGTGAACCTCTGTCTGGCAATTATGTCACAACCTTCTGGAATTTTTTCAGAATAAATTAGTAAGGCGACTGCATATGAATCCAGATATGGAGATGGACAGATGAATGGATATACCTAGAACTTGATTTTTTACCATAGGCAGATTTCCTCACAACTCTAAGCCTGTAATCTTCAGCCATAGATATGATAAATACCTGACTTGCAGGGATATTGTGATACTTAATTTAATAATATATATTAAGGTGCTTAGTGTACACCAATATTTCCGTTAAAGTATCTGTATCAGGATCAGTATTAAGTTAAAGAATTAGAAGTTAGTTTGTTAATCCTAATACTAAATCTTGTACTTTTATCTGATGTTCTCTCCTCTGCTTACCTGTTTAGCACTCTCCCATCCCCCCCAAAAAAAAAAAAATTCGAGGAGACATTTTTAAAATGAGATATATTTGGGGGAGAGGATTATTTAACAAGTAAATAGTATTATTGCCATTCCTTTATTATAATATGTATTCTATCTTATTACTTTATTGTAATATGTATTCAATCTATATGTATGAGTATCATTTGAATTTTAGACCATTTAAATTGGAATGAAATTTTGTGCTTCTATTAAAGAAAAATTGAAAAAGAAATGTTTTAATTTACAGCTAGTGTTTTAGTAAAAGTTCAGAGTTCATGCTACCTAGAACTTAGTTTGATTCCTTTCATATGGAAAAAAGTTTTCATTCTGTTTGATTCTTATTTTAATAAGTTGTTAGAATTACTGTGTTAAATAATTTCACGTGTACCTGCTACTTATTAAGAAATTATGTGAATAATTCTGATTTCTTCCACTAGAGGGCCCTCTTAGAGAACCTTTTCCTTGATTAAGTTATTTCTGTACACCTTTCACTCCAGTTGAACTTTCTCAAAAAGAATTTCAGAGAAAAGATAATTTCCTCTCAGCATATATCCTACAAACTAATCTTTTCTGAGATGTTGGTGGAAGGTATTTTGTAAACTTTTTCTTTATCCCCCTTATGTCTTACATAGATGAAACGTTTCTATTGTTTATTAATGTTAGGGGATAGACTCTTAAAGTAGCAATGTATATAAAGCTCTTTTTACTAGCCTAACTGTACATTATCTTACATAATTCTATACTCCCTTTATTTTGACCCCTTACCCTCCCTCCAAAACAAATCTTAACAATTGTGGGGGTGGGGGACAGATGTTATGTGAGGAGGCATGTCACAAAAATGTATGTATAGCCCTGGCTGGTGTGGTTCAGTTGGTTGAAGCATGTCTCATGTACCAAACAATTGAGGTTTTGATTCCTGATCAGGGCACATTCTCAGGTTGCAGGTTCAATCCCCTATCGGGGCTTATGCAGGAGGAAGCTTATTGATGTGTCTCTCCCTCTCTCTCTCTCTGGTTTTTAAAATATATTTTTGTTGATTTCGGAGAGGGAAGGAGAGGGAGAGAGATAGAAACATCAATGATAGAGAATTATTGATCGCTGCAACCCAGGCATGTGACCTCCTAGTTCATAGGCCAAAGCTCAACCACTGAGCCATGCTGGCCAGGCTATCTCAGATTATTTATTTATTTATTTATTTACTTAACTTATTTATGTGTACCTATAGAAAGAACATCTTCTCTGGTAAAGATTTTATTAGACATATGCCACCAAAGAGAAGGAAATTTTTGAATGAGATTTTTGTCCCCCTAAGCACAGAGCCCCTAGTGTTCAAGGATTTCTTTCCCATAGTGTTCTAACATTTCATTTAGCAAGGTCCAGAGGATTAGGAAGCAGGAATAGAAGACTTTAGGAATGGTTAGGTCTTATTTAGCTGTCCCGTGTTTTACATTTGCCTGAATGTGATTGTCCATAGAGAGCAAAGTAGGGATGAGTGGGAAACTTTAACTTCTATTTATTTCTCTCAGGGTGTAGGGTCTGAAGAATTAATTCAAGGAAACTATAGTACTGAGTGATTAGTATAAAGGCCTGCTTGTGTTTTCAGTTCAGTCCAGTATATATCTCTTTACTTTTTATAACATTTTGTCTTGGTTTAGTTTATTTGCTATCATATTTGTAGGTTTAAAAATTACCCGAGGACCTTGTTAATACACAGATGTCCAGGCTTCAGCGTCAGAGAACTTAAACAGGTCTGGCATATGATTGATATATCATTACTGTTTTAATAATCTTTACCACTCCAGGTAATTTTTGTGCACACTGAAGTTTGAGGTTTAATGGAAAGAGTAAGCTAGACATGTCTTCTTAGAAACCTGCTGACCTATTTCTGTAATCTTAACAAGTTTCTTAATATCTCTGAGCCACATCTAGAAAAGGAGATAATGTATTTTTTTTAGATTGTGAGAATTAGATTAATATATATGATAGTGGTTATAACAAAGCTTGGGCCACAGAAGGCATTCCATAATGCCCTTTTCGTTACAAATGAAACTTTTGCCACTCTGATCTTTTATATCCTTACCTCTCCTCCACACATTAGATCTTGTTACATAAATAAGTGGGTCTTTGAGGCTTCCTTGCCTTTTACTTGTGTAATCACCTATCCTGAGAATGCCTGCTGCCACTTGCTCTTTAGTAATTTCATATTTGTCCTTTAAGACCATTTACTTACATAACTTCTGAATGGTTTGCCTCAAAACAAGAAAAGTCCTATGACTTTTCTGCATCCCTTACCGCCATGTATATGCTAGGTATACCAGTTAATAATGAGGATTTTTTTTTCCAATAGAGTTACACATATGTTGTTATATATGCATTTCGATATGTATACTATTTTGTTGTATTGACAGTAAACTTTAAAACTTCATATGCCAAAACTTCATATGCCAAATTTGCTGAAGGTGTTAACATGATATTTTTATGCTTAAAAATGTCGAATTTCTTGCCAAAAAGAGCATTTGCGGGAAGTTTTAATTCATTACTTTATTTTGAAGTATTTTTATATCATATACTTTGGGAAGCTTATGGTGAACATGCTCCATCTCAAGATACTTGTGAATGCTGGTTGAAACGCTTTAAAAGTGATGATTTCTATGAGAAAGAAAAAAATATCCAGGTCAACTGAAAAAGTTTTAAGACCAAAAATTACAACCATTATTGGATGAAGATGCATGTCAAAATTCAAAGACAACTTGCAGAAAGATTAAACGTTGCTCAGCAAACAATTTCCAATCGTTTACAAGCAGTAGGAAAGATTTTAAAGGAAGGAAAATGGGTGCCACATCAGCTGAACGAAAGACAAATGGAAAACCGAAAAGTCATTAGTAAAATGTTGCTTCAACAGCATGAAAGAAAGTCTTTTTTGCATCTCATTGTGACTGTTGATGAAAAGTGGATTTATTTTGAGAATCCGAAATGCACAAAATCATGAGTTGATCCAGGTCAACCGTCAACATCGACTGCAAGGCCAAATCGCTTCTGAAAGAAGTCTATGCTCTGCGTTTGGTGGGATCAGGAAGGTGTGTATTATGAGCTTCTAAAACCAGGTGAAACTGTTAATACAGATTTCTACCGACAACAAATAATCAATTTGAACCACACTTTGATTTTAAAATGACCAGAATGGGCCAGAAGACACAGCAAAGAAATTTTGCTTTATGATAACACACCATTACACACTTGAAAACCAGTTAAAGACCCATTAAAAGATCTTGCCTGGGAAATAATAACCCATCCGCTGAATTCACAAGACTTTGCTCCTTCAGATTACCACTTGTTCTGATCGATGGCACACGTACTTTCTAAGCAGCATTTCAAAAAGTATGAAGAAGTGGAAAATTGGGTCTCTGAATGGTTTGCCTCAAAACAAGAAAAGTTCTATTGGGACGGTATCCACAAATTACCAAAGATGGGGGAAATGTGTAGCTAGCGATGGACATTAATTTAAGAAACATCAAAAGTGTTTTTTTCAATGTTTTCTTTGATTACAAAATTTTCATTATTAAAGGTACACGTAGTACTTTCTTCTGCTATCCTCTGTTCAGTCTCTCCCACAGAGAGGATGTAATGATAAGAGCATGAGTTCTATAAGCAGGCATACATGTGAATCCTGACAGCCTCTAATTGTGTGAGATTGGACAAGTTGCTTTAATTTTTTTTTTAATTTTTTTTTTAACGTGCAAAGTGCACACTAAAAAAAAAAAAAAATTAAAGCAACTTGTCCCTAAAGTGGGAACAATATTACTGTTCAATGTTATGAGAAATAAGGGAATAACGTGTGTGAAGCATCTATTAATAGCACATAAGCTTTAAGTAAATAATAGCTGTTTCTTTTACAGTGGTATTATGTATCTTTCCCCCTTAACTTTTCTCTGCTTAGTGTATAATAAAAACTGACATTTAATAGATTATAACATAATTATTTGGAGAAGGAAGAAAGAAAAAAAAAATTTTTTTGGTGAAGGTATGAATGTGTCCATGGATAAATGATAATTACATGGAAAGGCACTTGGAAAACTATCGAACACTATTTAAAGGTTCTACTTACATTTGAGTTCTGAGATTTCTGATATGAAGCCTATATACTGTGTATTTCAAATATCGTTAGAATAAAATTATATGTAGCTAAATTAAACTGAGGGAAAGGTAATTAAATTTAAATTTTAAGTTCTTATGGATTAGAGAAATGTTGTACGTGCTAACATATTTTTAAGTTCAGATTTAACCTTTACAATAAAAGCAGCCATTTGAGATATGGTTTTCTGATTATTTGCTTATCATAATCAAAATTTAATAATTCATTTGCTATGTAATGTAATGTGGTAATTTTATAAAATAGCCCTCTGTTCAAGTTTCCAAAATATTTTTTTTTCTTATAATAGCAACATTTCATTGAGTTGGATGAAAATAGACAGCGATTATTGCAGAAGTGTAAGGAACTTATGAGGAGAGCTAGGCAAGTATGTAACCTGGGTGCAGAGCAGACGGTTCCTCAAGAATATCAAACAGTAAGTATAAAAAGTACATAATGTCACAAGTTAACATTATATGTAAGCTTACAATGTGTTAGGCATTGTAATGGCCCATAAAAAATACAATGTTCCATAAAAAAATAGAGGGTTTTCAACCGAGTATGTAATTTTGCTAAACAAATTTTCTTTTCTGTACTCATACTTGCACTACTGTACTCCAACTTGCACCAATTACTCGTGTTGCTTGATGCTAACGTTTTTAAAACGGGTATCACCTTGCAAAATATTAGTACCATAACATTCATTTTTCCAATAAAAGATCCCTCCCCCAAGCCATCTTTCAGGAGTAGGATTGGGAAATAGGATGTGGTTTTTCATGGAAACATAGTACCAGTAATTGGTTTATAAGAAACAGAAAGTAGAGGTGATATTTTAAAAAGTAGGCAAAATGAAAATGTTTTTCGGGATATTGGGTTTTTATTTGTAGTTCAATGGGAACTAAATTTTTAGGGCAAACCATTTATTGGTAAGGAAAGGAGAAAAGAGCTTTTCTTTCCATTATATGCTGATATATCACTAACATGAGGAGATGCTGCCATTTAGTCCAAATTCCACCAGTTATATGGCCCTGTGAACCTAAGCTTTATCCTGCAAGGAGCAATAATACCTTGGCTACATACCTTTCCTCTTAGAATAATGTCACAATGAGAAAATGAATAGAAAAATGAGAAAATGAATAGAAAATAACAAGATATCGGGTATTTGTATATATTTTTTGTATTCTTAATTTCAGATGTTACTTATTTCAATAGATAATGAAATGTCTACTAAGGATATAAATAAAACTGGAAAAATAATTAAATTATAATTTTCAAATTCTCAAATTTGAGATATGGTATCTCAATGATATCAGACATAGAAATCACAGAGAATAGGCTGAGTACATAATAAGAATTTAGTAGATTTTTAAAGACAAATTAAGGAGCTATTTCTAAAAATATGCTAGAACTTCTCCAAAACACATTGGGGTATCATAAAATAAATAAATGTTAATATAATATCTATAGTAATGTTTCAGAAAGTAGAATGATTCTATTCTTGATAAGTCATACTGCTTTTAAAATTAGGAAATAATTCATATATTTATTAAAAATGTGTGTGTGTATTGAACAAGACTGACAGACTTTTCTACTGAAATTTATATTCTAGTCTGAATCATGTGGCAGACAAAAAAACAAAAAGGCAAATAGATGTTGGGTAGGAAATGGTGCTAAAAATAAAACAAGGTAAGAGGATAAAAATAAAACAAGGAAGGTTCCTTTGAAAAAATACTATTTTAGATGAGTCCTAAGTGAAGAGAAGAAAATCAGTCTTGGGAAATTTTGAGGGGAAAAGTCACAGACAGAGAAAACGGCTCATATAAAACCCCCAGGACAGAAGAATATTTGACATGTTTTAGGATAACAGGAATCTCAATGGGACTAGTCCAAGCAAAAAGGAAGGCAACGTCAGGTCATGTATGGCCTTATATTTCATAGAAGGAGTTTGGGTTTCGTTTTGAGAGGGAATATACTAGAGGATTTTAAAGGAGTGATATGACTACTGGAAATACCAAGGGGAACACTTTATAAAACACATGATTGTTTAATCACTATGCTATCTACCTAAAACCAATACAAAGTAATATTAAAAGTAAACTCTAATTGAAAAAAATTGTTTTAGTAAAAAAAATGTTTTAGTAAAATAAAATGAACTTCAAAGAACTTTCTTATCCCATCAAAATTGGCAGAATTTTCTCTTCGTATTACTTATGAACTTTAGATTAGTAATTGAAAAAAATAAGTAAAAGAGCACTCCTAACTGCTATGTGGAGTGTAAAGTAAGGATACAAGATTGGAAGTAATGGTACAGAGATTATTGCTGTGGACCAGACAAGAGAATATAATGACATGGATTAGGGAGGAAACCTTAGAGAGAAATTTATAGATTTGAGGAATTGTTTAAAGACAGAGCCAACAGGACATGCTAATGGATTTAAGGTGAAGGGTGAGAGAGAACCCCTAAATTTTGCCATGAACTGGAATGATGACTGAAGAGGAGAAATAGGTTTGCTCACATTGGTGAGTGAAATAAAGATTTCTGTTTTACTATCTTGCATTTAAGATACCTTATTAGAGTTAAATGAAGATACTAAATTAGTGTTGGCACGTGAATTCAAAGCTCTGTGGATAGTTAGATTCGACAAATATCTGAAGTCCAATAGAAGTTGAACTGCTTTCAAAAAGTTAAAAAACAAAAACAAAAAAAAAAACAAAAAAAAAAAACTTAAGATATTAGATTAATGTAATGTCAGGATCTTTTTCAGAGTTCCAAGATTCATTTTTGTACCCTATAGTGTAAGAACTTTACAGGTTGTGCTGGAAAAAACAAAACAAAACAGTGTACTGCTTGCTTCCACTCCTAGGAAATTGTTCTGATTTGTCTCTATGGCATGGATAGTTCTGTGGTGAAATTCCGTCAAATTAATTAGATTCTTAGGATGCTTTTTCAGTACAGTATAAAGTTCTAACTTCTTGCTCTCTTTCAATGCCCCACATATTCTGGACCCATTCTACCAATTCAGCAAGTACCCAACATCCCAAATGGACACAACTCCTCACCCCCCATGGTATGCAGTGCTCATTCTTTTTTCCAAGCTCCTGTCTCCCCTCTGCCTTGCTTTTTCTTAGCCATTTGCTTTAAGGCCCAGAGATGAATTATGGGCCTCTGAATTCTCTAACTTTCTTGTAGCACCTGTAGTGTGAACTGATACTTTCTTCTCTAAATTCTTTAGCTTATATGATATGTACTGCTTATGTTAATACTCAACATCAGTACACTGCCTTAAGGTATTATCCAGTGTAAGTGTATATATTTTATTTCTTTTTAAAGGTGTAAGCTTTTGAAAGCAAAAACCCTGTTTATAATTTCTTTGATTCCTTCTGTGTTAGCATGCTGTTGAACACATGGTAGTAGAGTAGTAGATACTCGGCCGAATATTTTAACTATTTGAATTTAACTCTTTTTCACTGTACTATCTACAATGATGGATAATTTTTTTCCTCCTTTAGGCTTTCCAAGACCTTCCAAACACACTGGATGAAATTGATGCTTTATTAACCGAAGAAAGATCAAGAGCTTCTTGCTTCACAGGACTGAATCCTACAGTATGATTCTTTCCCTATTACCTACTGCAGGCACCACCACCACCCATCCCTACACAACACACACACACACACACACACACACACACACACACACACACACACGAGTTTCCTCCAGTACTTGCCTCCCACTCTGTACTAGAGCTCTTGGTAATAATAAGCTAGACAGCAGGAACAATGTGCTTTAAATGCCAGATTTCTGAATCTATTAGCATTTTAAATAGATTCTTCCTAAGGAACACAGTGTTCTGTGCCTTTTCTTTATAAAAAGAATAGTTGGGCTAACCTGAAATACTGCAGTGTGTTTTTTTTTGTGTGTGTGTTTTTGTTTATTTGTTTTTTCAGAATAAAAAGTGGCAAACATTTTCAGTATAAGAACATACAAACAATGCAACACATTGGCATTTTCAATTAATGTTTTAATTAATGCAAATTGTCTGTAATTTTATTCTTTGATAGATTTGTCTTAAAGAAATTATTTTTCCCTACTAGGTTGTTGAGGAATACACAAAAAGAGAAGAAGAAATTGAGCAATTAACTGAGGAACTAAAGATAAAGAAAGTTGAATTGGATAAATATAGGGAAAGCATTTCACAGGTAATTGTTTTCTTTATCTTTTCTTTTTGTTGTGTTCTTACCATTAATCATATGGACATGTAGAATAATACAAAATGAAATGATATGTTTCTAAGGAAAAGTGATGTATTTGTTCTTGTGACTAGATTAATACTGATATTAATTTTATGTAAAGTATACCAGAATGTAATAACATTTCTTTTAAATTTGTTTTTATATTGCCTTTATTTGCAGGTAAAAGAAAGGTGGCTTAATCCTTTAAAAGAGCTGGTAGAAAAAATTAATGAAAAATTCAGCAATTTTTTTAGTTCCATGCAGTGTGCTGGTGAAGTTGATCTCCATATAGAAAATGAGGTAAAATAGCTTTTGAAATGGTTCCTTGCAAGTAATTGTATGTACATTATTATTTACCCTAGAGTTATATATGAAAATTCTGCTAAGAAATTATTCAAAGGAATGAAAGTACCACCAGTGAAATTTCATCAGAGTCACTTATGTGTGTATCTGACATTTGAGATTGGATATAAAAAGAGTCAAGTATTAATCACCAGACTTAAGTAATGGTTATTTAGCTATGATGAGTAAATGCATTGCATTGCCTTATAAATCTACCACTATCCAAGTTAGAAGATAACTGAAATAAAGTATAATGTCAGTGGTTCCCTTTTGTGCAGAATTTAACAGTTCATAAGAATGAAAATATTTGAAAATTTGCAGCTAATTCCTTGAACTATAAGTTTATACATTGCAATTGTGGGTAAAATAAATTTACTATTAAGAAATGTGTAAGGAGTCCCAGCTGCTTTGGCTCAATGGATCGAGCTTCAGCCTGGGGACCGAAGGGTCCTAGGTTCAGTTCTAGTCAGGGGCACGTACCTCAGTTGCAGGCTCAATCTCCAGTCAGGGCATGTGCTAGAGGCAACCAGTCAATGTGTCTTACATAAATGTCTCTCCCTCTCCCTTCCACTCTAAAAATCAATGGGAAAAAAAATATCCTTGGATGAGGATTAACAAAAAAGCAACAACAAAAAATCAAACCCCAGATCTGATCCCAGAGCCTAATCTTAGATCTCTGCTGTCCATTATGGTAGCCACTAACTACAGATGGCTATTGAGCACTGATGTGTGTAAAATGTGCTATAAATGTACAATACATACATGTTAAATACTTAGTATGGGGGGAAAAATGTAAAATATTTTAAAACATTTGATGCCGAAACCGACTTGGTTCAGTGGATAGAACATCGGTCTGCGGACCAAAAGGTCCCGGGTTTAATTCCAGTCAAGGGCATGTACATTGGTTGCGGGCACATCCCCGGTAGGGGGTGTGCAGGAGGCAGCTGGTGGATGATTCTCTCTCATCGATGTTTCTAGCTATCTATCCCTCTCCCTTCCTCTCTGTGAAAAATCAATAAAATGTTAAAAAATATTTTAAAACATTTGATATTAAATGTTAAAGATATGGGTATATTGAATTAAGTAAAATATTAAAATTAATCTCACATATTTTTTACTTTATTGTGACTGCTGGAACATTTACAATGCATGCATGGCTTGCATTATATCTCTTGGTCATGCTCTCTTAGACCTTAAAAGCTCTATTCATTAACTAGTTATTAGCCTTTAATTATCAAGTTACATTCTCATTTTTAGGGTAAATCTGAATCTGATTAGTCTATAAATGACTAATAAGAACAGTAAAAAAGCCTTAAAGCATCTTCATTTTAGACAAAATATAAAGAACACTAAGTGCATTCATTACTACAGATATTTAATGAGCACTTATAATGTGCTAAGTTTTTACTAAGTATTGTGTGTATATACACTGAGCTGCCAGATTATTATGATCTCTGAAGCATAATAATCTGGCCACTCAGTATATATCCTATATAATAAAAGGCTAATAGGCAAATTTTCCCCTCGACCAGGAGTTAGATCAGCAGGCAGGCTGGCCAACTGCTCATGACCCTACTCCCACCCATGCACAAATTCATGCACTTGGCCTCTATTTTTTATATATATATTAGAGGCCCGGGGCATGGGGGTGAGGGGTGTCCCTCAGCACAGCCTGCCCCCTCTCCAATCTGGGACCCCTCGGGGGATGTCCAACTGCCCGTTTAGATCTGATCCCGGTGGCTGCTGCCATTTCTGTTTGGATTTTCTTACCTTCTATCATTGAAACTCTGTAGCCTTGAGTAGAGGCAAGGTCAGGCGGAAAGCTTGACTTCCTCCATTGCCTGGGAAACCCAAGCCTCCCTCCTGCTCTCTCTGGCTGTAGCCATCTTGGTTGGGTTTATTTGCATACTTGCTCTATTTGCCTGGTGGGCGTGGCTGGTAGGTGTAGCAGAGTGATGGTTAATTTGTTATTTCTCTTTTGTAGGATACACACGTACACACACACTGAGTGGTCAGATTATTATGCATTCAGAGATCGATCATCATAATCTGGCCACTCAATGTAATAAGTATCTTTTAAAGAATACATATATTCTCTGCCCACATTTTTTCTTCTTAATTTGCTGAAGGGGAGAACTGAGCCTTCTGTAGTGACATACACAGCTACTTCTAAGAGAAAATGGCATGATTCTTCACTGTTCTAATTATTTGCACCTATAGCTATAAAACCTAGCACTTAAGGAGCTAGTATAGATAATGCCTTTCCATGATGGAGCTCTTCACTCAGTAATTTCTAAAACCCTTGGAAAAAACTACTAAGTGTGAAAGGAATGGTATGAGACAAGGGGGGGGAATAAAAAAGTCACTCTTAATCTGATTATTTTTCTTACCAAAATAGATCCTTAGAGACTCACTAAAGCTTGTAAATAGCAACTGGTTCTTTAATATTTTATTGGTTTACTTTAAACTGTCATTAAATTTTAAATTCTTTATTCTTATAATTGATTTATTCAGTCTATTTTTATGTAATATGAAATTATCAAAGATCTCTCATCTTTTATTAACTTTTTAATGTCTTATAGGAAGATTATGATAAATATGGAATTCGAATTAGAGTCAAATTTCGAAGTAGTACTCAACTGCATGAATTAACTCCTCATCATCAAAGTGGAGGTGAAAGAAGCGTTTCTACCATGTTATACTTGATGGCACTTCAGGAACTTAATAGATGTCCATTCCGAGTAGTTGATGAAATCAATCAGGTACAGTGATTACTCTTTTACTTGAGTTTTATTTTATCTTATATATTATAGTAAATTTAATGTAATCATTATTATTGTCATGGTTTAGGGAATGGACCCAATCAATGAACGCAGAGTGTTTGAAATGGTTGTAAATACTGCTTGTAAAGAAAACACTTCTCAGTACTTCTTTATTACGCCAAAGGTAGGTAATAAGTGACCTGAAAGTGGCTTCATCATGTAGCAGACTTGGGCCTAATATGTACATTTGAGCAGGAATACTCCAGGAAAGGAGCTAGAAAGATCACAGTAATATTTATATTACTAAAGGGGACAAGTTCCAGTGACACCTTAATCAGAAATCTCATTATAAGAGACAGAAACATAGCCATGGCATTATGTTCTAGGACACAGAATTCTTCCTGCTTTTGGCACTTACTCCTCCTCTAGAGAAGTACCTTTTTTAGCACTCACAGGAGAACGCAAAATCCTAGAACTTTGTGGGCTTCCTTGTTTCCTGGAAAGGCCTGTCTTTAGCAACACTTATGCCACCATTGCCTCTACCCTGGCCCAGAGAAAAGCTTAAGTATCCCAGCATCTGTTCACAAACTATGATAAAAACAGAAGTATCTTTATCAAGAATCTTCTATAAGCTAGAACCATTACAATGGGAAATTTTCTTTTGTTAGGTTGTATACTGTGGGTAAATTATAAAACTGATGCATTCAAAGATGTATTGATATAATCAGATTTTTTTACATATTCATACACAAAAAACTTCATTGGTGAGACCATCCTAAATTCAGATTTTTAGTGAATAGTATACTCTTTCTCCTTGTTCCAGCAGACACTCTGTGGAATAGCCAGATCTGTTAATACCCTATTGTTTACCAAATACCTTGGCCTATAAGCCAAACCTTCCCTGATATATACTTGAATCACAGTGCCTGACCACAAAAGTTGCTTGAGAAGCACTTCTGGGGAAAATGAGTATAAGTGTCTACCCTATGAAAATTCTGGAGGACACACTTCTCCAAGGTCTTATCTAAGAAGTTGTCTGATCCCTTTCGGCCTGTGAATGTAGAAGGTTCCCTAAGCGTGTTGATCATTCTTTAGGCCAGGCGTCAGAAGTATTAATTCAGGTAAGGATCGCAGTCTAGCAGGGTATATATTGAGTTGTTTCATTAATATTACAAATAATATATCCTTACAAATAATATATCATTTATTATCAAATAATATATATTATTATTACAAATAATAATATATCCTTACAAATAATATATCCTTGGAAAATTATACTTCTTAGTATATATAGCATTATATGACAGCTTGTTTTAACACTTACAGCTCCTACAAAATCTCCCTTATTCTGAAAAGATGACAGTATTGTTTGTCTACAATGGTCCTCATATGCTGGAACCAAACAGATGGAATTTAAAGGCTTTTCAAAGACGGCGGCGCCGTATAACATTCACTCAACCTTCTCAATAAAGTAAAAGAAGAGACCTTTGGGGTTTTTGTTAAATTCTATCTATAACTATGGCTCAACTGAATAAAGCGATATTCATTAAGACTAAAAGATCAGTTTTTTTGGAAACATGCTGTTAACTACAAATGGGTTGATGAAGAGACCATAATAACTTCTTTCTATGGAATAGCATCTTCCAATAGTAAAAATTAAGTCCTTTTCAATCTTTGTTGACTTGAGTCCTTACCACTCTAACCACAAGTCATTGGGTTCCCATGTTAAAAGTATTTGCCATTTCAAATCAAAAGTACAGTGGAAGGGGTTGACATGGTAACCCTGAGCTTTAATTCCAGAGTAACTTTAATTACTTTAGTCTAAAGATGGCTATAGAGCTTAAGTCATACTTTTCTCCCAGTATTATATTTAATTTTTTTAAAATTGATATGGAAATGTCTTATGTACAGTAGATAATTTATTACAAATCTATTCATTTATTACTATTAAAAATTACCTTATCACCACTAGGAAATGGAATTTTACGGACCTCTAAAAGTAGTCTTATGAAATTTGATTAATATAATTGTATTGGCTTCTCAAGGGGGAAAAGTACTGGTTAAAAATGGTAGTGGGACTTTTTTGAAATGCCACAAGGTGGCCACTAGATGATGCAAAAATGCAACCAAAAGACTGACAGAATATAAAATCAAGTGACAAGGGTTTTTAAGAAATAACTGTAAAGTGTGTGGGATTTTTTTTTAATTTAAAGTCAATTGTATTTTACATCTTAAATTTCTAAGAGCATTTTTATAATTATTTTTAGTAAGATTTTTCTTAAGATTTCATATACTGGTTTCTACAATTTATATTTGAAATTTTTAAGTGTTATGTAAAGAGTGAAGGAAAACATTGACTTGTTTAAAACCATAATTTTTCTAGAACACTTAACCTTATGGGTCCTTCCTTATAGTCCTGTCCTATCCCATTATCTTAGAAAATCTAGTCTTAACTGTTTGTTTTTGTTTTCAGTATGAAAGAATAGAGGAGAAAATCATTTGTTTATCTCTGAGTTGTGCCAATTAACAATGCCAAACAAATTCTATTCTTTTAAAAAATAAAACTTGTAAGCTAATGGACTAATCCAAGGGCATGTCTTTGCACAGTGGGTTGGATTTATGCCAGTAATGACAAAATTAATTTTTTTGACTTGGTAGGCTGAATAAATTGAAAAATCGCATTCAGTTTTGGTTTTGTATATTCTTAAGTAGCCATTGAAATTTATATTCTTATTATGTCAAAAAATAATGAACCATAGTTTATGTCCTCTCACTTGGACATTTCCACTTTAAAATGTTCTTTATAAAAATTTTAAAAGGGCCTTCTCCTCTTAAACTAAGTCTAATGCATGTACTATGAAAAATATTTTCAAGTAGCATTTTTCCTAGTATGAACAAGATATATAAACATTGAAAAAATTGCTAAAGTGATATTGTTACCAAAAATGTTTGTTGTTTAATATTTTGTTTTCCAACAAAATATCTTCACTAATACGTGCTTGGTGTCGTTTGCTTATTGTCTAAGTTAGTGCCAGTCATCTGATTTCTACAAAATGAATATCAGTGTGACAGAGAAGCTTGAATTTTATGTGCATTTGAAAATAAAATGTAATGGTCAATTTTATTTCACTTAGCATATCTCAATAATTATTCCATAACTTGTTAGCATTTACATTTTTTTTTACTGGACAAGGTTAATATTTGTTTTTGCATTGAATTTTGAGCTGTGAAGGATAAATTCATATTTTAACGTATTAATAGAAGAATAATGTCTAGCACATTAGGGTATCAACCACTTAAAATTTCATATATTTTCTGCAAAAGCTTATTTTTTGTTTCCTTCAAATAGTAAAAATTTTAGGTAACAGTCTGACTTGAATAAAATATATAAAACCTTAAGGTGACAAGCAAGTACTTTTAATGACAAAATCTTCATTGATCTGCCTGAGGAAAGAGTCCATTGAAAAGTTTTTAGTATTCAAAGTAAGAGAAAAGATCTGCTGCTGCTTTCTACTTGTTTTTAACATGTGTTTACTTTCTTTGGAGTATAAATCTTTAGTTTGTAGAAAATATAATTTTGTCCTATTGTATGTGTATAATTAAAAAACCTCTTTGTGGGAAATACTACTTTGTTGGTAATAAATGCATATTTTCATATTCTTTTGGTGTATGTTATTTTAAATGAGAACTCTTATTTAGATATTTAAATATTTTAAAATATTAAATATTTAACTTTAAAAAATATTTTTAAATATTTTTATTGATTTTTAGAGAGCAAGGAAGAGGGAGAGTTAGAAACATCAATGATGAGAGAGAATCATTGATTGGCTGCCTCTTGCATGCCCCCCACTGAAGATCGAAGCTGCAATCTGGGCATGTGCCTTGATCAGGAATTGAACTATGACCTCCTGGTTCAAAGGTCCACACTCAACCACTGAGCCACGCTGACTATTTCAAACCTTTTTAAGAGTCATTTTGCTTTCAGGTGTATGAAAAAACAAATCTATTGAATGCCTGCTTTTACAGAATAGTGTTTGGCAGTCCTTGTATGTTCCAGAGAATAGAAAATTTAGTCCCTGTCTTCCTTACAGGAAATTAGTCTAATAGAAGCAATAAACACATGAAAAAGGTTGAAATCATCTAAAGAAACCAAGTTACAAGGCAAGTATAAATATTTTTAGGTTGAAAGCCTAAATTTGTTAAAAACATTCTCAATAGTCAATTTGTCTTATTTCTTACATTAACCTACTAAAGTAATTTTTAAAATATATATTTTTTTAGTCAGGCAGATTTTATCACTTGATTATGACAAGTTACCTCATCCCATTTCCTCATTAGTAAAATGAGGATAATGCCTTGAGAGAATCATATGAGATCAGGGCCTAATAGGGCACCTCGCCTCTCAGTCAGAAGCTTTATATTTCCTTCTCTTATATATCTATATTTTTTTCCAGCTTTATTGAAATTTGATATTCTAAATCTTGAAAAATATGATGTACTGTGTATTGAAATTTTGATATTCTAAATCTTGAAAAATATGATGTACTGTGTATTGAAATTTGATATTCTAAATCTTGAAAAATATGATGCACTGTGCATTTTATACATCAAGGTCTGAGAATTCTGTTAATGTGTAGATTTTTATTCCATTTCATTGATAGTGTCAACTGATCAAATGATGTAGACACCTTTGAGTGATTTTTGGGCAGTATAGCTGGAAGATTTGGGTATTTCTGTAAAAGGCAGCTTTCTCTCCCCCCTCCCCCCCCTTCACCCTCCCCCGAAAGAAAAAGCCTAGCTACTCTATTTAGGTTCTTCATAAGAACTATGCTTAAGAGGACTTGTTGAAGCCAACTGTGGCCTAAAATCCACTCCTGTTCTGTGCGCTCTGCCTTCCTCCGATAGGCTGTAACAGGCTGGCTGCTGTTAGGCAAGTTGGAAACATGCAAGGTGCTTAATGGAATAAACATGCCCAAATTGCCCAGAGTTGGGAGAGAGGACATTCAAAAAGAAACAAATATTACCACCTTACCTTTCAGACTGTCCTTGAGTTAGTAAACCTTCATTTTATCTTCCAGGAGCATGCTTACATACTCTTGGCATTTGGGTCCGTGTGTTGGAACTAGACGGGGCAAGGCTGTGCTGGGATCACTTAGTCATTCCTGCCAAATACTCAACCAGGAGTAGGTTGAAACAAATTATCCCAGAGGAAAGATTTGGAATAAACTGTCCAATGAATGTTATAAATTCAAGTTATTTTCATATTTAAAATCAATGTAGCCCTGGAGATTGTGTCATATGATATTCTTTATCTTCATATTCTTAGACTTGGGAAGGATCTTCCAGGTGGCTTAGACTCAGTCATAAATCATGAAAAGGAACCCTTTGAATGATTAAAGTTAGCTCCGATAAGCCTAAATAAGTTATTTTGTAAACCGAATGCTATAATCATTTGTTGATAAGCTGTATTATGCTTTCAGAGTGTTTCCATGTAATTATACACAACAACCCTATTCTGTAGGTGGAAAAGAGGAACTTTTTCAAGCTTTTACTATTGTTAAAGGGCAGAGGTGGGGCTGAAGTACAGGATTAATTAATTTTCTTTTCCTAGAATATCTTGCTGCCTTTTTATCCTGGCCTTTTGAATTTTTGGAGCTATACCTATAAACATTAACTGGTTATGTAATTAACTTCCTTGTGGATAAGATACTGCTTCTCCAATATGCCTCTGAACAAGTTACTTCTGTCATAACAAAAAACTCAAACATAGTTTATACAAGATAGAAATGTATTCCTTTCTAACAGTGTAACTAGTGATGTACTGAACTCCTTGTTGCTTTGCCATCCTCAACCAGAGGGTCCTTTACAGTACAAAATGGCAACTTCAGTTTCTGTCTACCTATCTGTATCCGAACAACCAAGGGAGAAAGGCACAAGGGGAAGAAGGTAGGACACTCCTTTTAAGAGCATGATTCTTGCCCTAACCAGTTTGGCTCAGTGGATAGAGCATTGGCCTGCAGACTGAAGGGCCCCAGGTTTGATTTCTGTCAAGGGCACATGCCCAGGTTGTGGGCTCAATCCCCTGATGTGCAGGAAGCAGTCAATCATTGACTCTCATCATTGATGTTTCTATCTCTTCTTCCCTCTGAAATCAATAACATATATTGCAAGAGGTACCAATTACTTTTGCTCTTGTTCTGAACATAGTCAAATCTCACTTGCAGGCCATGGAACTGTCGTCCCACCTGTGTCTTGTGCCTGGTTAGACTCCAGCCCCCGTTACTCAAGAAAGGGGGAGTGAGTGAGTGGAGACAAGTAGGAGTATCCACTGACCAAGAGAAAGTCAATCTCCCTACGGCCTATGGGCAGTGCTTTTAAAGAAGAGACCAGGTTTCCCTTCACAAAAATCAGTTACTACAGCCTTCAAGATTCCTACATATTTCCCCACTCTACCCTAACCGTTTTTCCCC